TCTTTAAGCCTGGGCTACTCGAGAACGGTTCTCAAAGGAGCTGTGCGCGATAGACTGATGGTGCCGTATAAATGTATGTCCTAAAATGCTTAGTTTCAGAGATACAGGGTGTAGAAGTTCCATTTTTATTTTGATTTTTTCTAAATAATTTCTGAAGTAACGCCAATATTTGGATGAAAATTAACGTCTGGTAGTTTTTTGGCATGAGAAATTTGATTGTGATGTCAATATGACATGTGTTTTAACTGTTTTGAAGCGTAATAACTTTTTGTTCGTACCTGTATAAAACTACCGAGCGAAAAAATATACATCTCTGTGACTTTTTACCTAAAAAATATATTTTTGTAAAAATTGCTACGAGCAACCGTTCTCAAGATATTTAGAATGAAAATAGTCAATACATGTCATTATTGACGAATAATAAACACGTTAAGTAGATAGTTATTTCACTGAAAATAATAAATTTGTGAAATTTTTCTGCGATAAATGATGATAAAACAGTTCCTGTTGAACTTTTGGCACAAAAACATTTCAAATTTATGATTTCAGTCTAATAACTATTTAGTCAACATGTTTAATTTATATCAATAATGACAGGTATTGATAATTTTCATTCCAGATATCTCGAAAACCATTACTCCTAGCGATTTTTACCAAGAGACTTTTTTCGCGTAAAAACGTCGTAAATGTATATTTTTTTACTCAGTAGTTTTATACAAGTACGGACGAAAAGTTATTACTCTTCAAACCAATTAAAAAACATGTAGGTGGCGCCCTCTACTAGTAGGAGTCATATTGACATCAAAATCAAATTTATCATGTCAAGAAACCCGTAGATACCAATTTTCATCCACAAACTGACGTTACTTCAGAAATTATTTGGAAAAAATCGAAATAAAAATGAAACTTCTACACTCTGTATCTCCGAAACTAAGCATTTTAGGACATACATTTATACGAACTTTTTTACTTATTTTTATCTACAGAATATGCTGCCGAAGTTTCCGGAATACAGTTCGGACCTCCCTGTATACTTCAATTCCTTCAATTTAATAGCTGTTAGTAAGAAGTTTCAGTTCAAATATGCGCACATAGTGCACACACATTTTTTTTAAACTCATTATGTTTTTTCCGGGTTATGAATAAAATCAATCAGTCCTACCCATACGGTGCCGAGATTCCCATATGCTCATCTCATGAATGTAAGAATTTTTTTATCGGTAGACTACACCGCGAACAATAAGACCATGCTTTATTAAATATGCCAAGTGAAAACGTCTAACAGGCGGTTTTTCCAAATGAAGCACGGTTGATGGTCTCGCTCAAATGGAGCCCATCTTTACAAAATAAACTGCGTCTTTTTTTTAACGTGCCATTGTCCAACGGGTTCTTTGGAGTTATGTAAGTAAGGTTTGTTTGCTTTTCTCTAATTGCTAGTACGACGGTATATTTTTTTTAAACTTTGGGTCCGGTTTTTTAGAACGTCCGGTCAATTTGATTATAAGTCTGTTAAACGGTACTCTTTGATTGGACAAGGATTCAGGACGGGTGGTGTTCATAGGGAATTATTCATGGTATTGTTTAAAAAGTTAAAAAAGTTGTTTAAAGTTTAGGATATTGTACAGGGTGTCGTATGTTTTGCAGGGCTTCGCTTTTATGAGTAAAGCTATAAAGATGCGGTTTTCACATCACTGTACATTTTTATGAAACAGATGCTACACACATATTTAACCTTGCCTTCTTAGTTTCCCAAATACAGGACGAATCTTAAAATGTTGTATTTTTCGACACCCTTTGTATCTTATAACAGTTCCGTAGATTTCTATACAGGGTGAGTTTCCTGTGTTCTCTATGGGTATCTCGGAAACTACTGGAGATAGAGAGTCGGTTAAATGGGGAAAGAATTGCAGTTTTGTGGGGTCGTAAATATGCGCCTTTCAGATTTTTGAAAAACTTCATGGCTTACTAGAAAAAAACAAATTTTGGCTATTTTAAAAAGTGTCCCTAATTCCATTATAATCAATTTTAGACAAAAAGTTTTCAGATAAAAGTTGTAGGGAATCACATCCCTAATGAGTCTGTGTTCTCCGATTTTTTCTAAAGCCTGCCACTTTTGACATATGACACAAACATATGTTTTTTTAAATGGAAACCATAGTTGGCCATGACTTCATAAAAAACGCAATTTTTTAAGCTTTTCAGCGATATAAGCTATAGTATGCCTTTTTCAAAAAATTACTGAATTATAACCAATTCTTATCTTTCTTGACTGAAGCCATGAACTTTTTCAAACATCTGAAAGGCGCATATTTATGACCTCACAAAACTGCAATTCTTTCCCCATTTAACCGACTCTCTATCTCCAGTAGTTTTTAAGATACCCGTAGAGAACATCGTAGGAAACTCACACTGTATATATTTCATATCAATACGTAATCGAGGGCGCGATTTTTAAATTCATTGTTGCCAACCATGGACATATTCGGCGCCGTACTGACTAACTGAAATTTAAATTTCGGGCTGAGGATTCAGCTGGCAGCTCTGCTGTAGAAAATGTCAAGTTGCCGAATTTATTTTTATTTCCTGACATTGTCATTCATTTTGACATTTTAGTTTTGTATTACGAGTTTTTGGTTTAAATAAATAGTGTTGTGATACTTTAAGCACAGATTAGGTATACTATATGTATACAGATAAAAATCTTATTCCTAATTCGTGGTACGAAAATTGTTTTTTATGACGATGTGCAAACGAGTAAAATTTCCTGTGCGCAAAAATAAACTCGCGTAAAATAACAATAAACAGCGTAATAGAGAGATATCGCTAAACCGAATAGCGTGCATGGACGTTAATAAGGCCAGGTGTTATTTCCTTTACGTGAGGTGGTATTAACTCTCTTCATTTATAGTTATCGGATCGGAAAGGATTCTGTTCGCGTCGCGCTCATCATACAGTCCCAGGACTTCCTACGGAGACCCGTGTCCCTCACAGTCGAGGAGCTACGACCCAGGCGGTGTAGACGAAACGGTAGCTTGTGTCGCCTCTTGGGTTTAGAGGTAGGAGGTAGGCTCCCGACCCTTGGAGGAGGTGGTAGCTTGTATGCCACTTGCGGAGGATGGTCTCACGCAAGTGTCAGCCACCTCTCCTGTAGTTCTCTTTGGGTTTTGGCCCTTGGAACTTTCATTGTTACTGTTCCCAGTGTCGCTAGAGGGTTTCCCCACAGCTTCACCGATGCTGTGGGGAAATGGGGATGGCTGTCCGTAGCCCCGCCCGGTATCGTTATATGTCTTGGTGCAATTCCCTGGCCACGTCACTACAGTCAGGGACAAGACGATGAGTGAGATGCTTCTTAGACCAAGCCAAGTGCTAGAGGGGATTCCCCCAGCACCTGACCAGGAGCTTCCCCACCAACGACAAGGTCTTGCATCTCCTAGGCGAAGTAGCAGACCTTGTAGTCGAACATTGTCATTTTTAGGACCTTTTTTAGTGCGAAGTGTACAAAATAACTTAATAGCCGTACAAAACTCATCGCAATTTTATTAGAATATTTTGAACGGGAAATCGGTAGTGTATAGCCCTTTATGTCCCTTAAGTACTGTTAAGAAGGTGAGTTTTTTTATGTAAATAATAATTGTTTATATATTTCTAATTATTTTTTTTGGTTCCTAAAATATTTTGATTAAAAGAAAATATGTAAAAGTGGGCAACGCTATACCGGTCAAGCTTAATCACGTGACTAAGAGTTTATTTGGTATGAACTGTAGGTACTGTTTATCATAGTATAACGAGAAATATTAGTATAGATATACAGGAAGTTGCAATTTACAACTAGGGTTGGCAGTCACAATTTTTTTCTTAATATTCGTTTTAATTAATGTGGGATATTATATGTTCTTAATGCGTTATTTTTAGAGTTTGACCTTATCAATTTCCTCATTTTTTTAATATTTTTTTTAAATATATTTTTTTTACATTTACTACGCCAATATAACCTGAATTATTATAGATTAACAATTAATCAAAAATATGTCGGATAAAAATTTTTACCTACAAATTAGTGAGATACATTTGCCAACCAGAAGATAGGCCGAGTTTATTGAATGAACTGATACATTCAAAGAAATAGGAAGTTAAATTAATAAATAATATATAATGGCAAATTAATTCATAACGCTGGTACCCGAGCGTGAAAAGTTAAAGAAAAAAATCCTGCGTCAAATTATTAATAAGCAAACAGGTATTCTGCTTATAAACTTTGTATTGACAGGTTCTAATGATATTATTTTTTTTTATTTGATGAAGCGAATTCCAATTTATAATTGAACAAGAACATTTACCAATTGAAATTGACTATGAATAATTCTTGAAAACGTATACAGGGTGAGATGACAACACTTAATTAAGAATATACAGGATTTGAGTGGTCATTTTCACGATATTTTTTTTAAATTACATTGCCACTATTTTAAAACACTTACAAAATATTTTCAATATTCGGCTTAAACGATCTACACACTTCCAACTTGGTTAGGGTTTCTATGTTTCCATACAAGTATTTGGAAATTTAGGACAAATTAGCTCTGAATTTATTTAGCTATGTATAAAGTTTGTCTAATTAGAGAATACCTGACAGTGAAAGTTGTTGTCTGTCATTTTAATTGACAGGCAAGTTGTAATTTCTGTCATTGTTTGGATGTCGTCTGACGATATTCTTCCCTGGTTCGTTGCACCGATGGACTGACTTTACTTAAAGAGGAAGTTAAAGGCAATTGAAAAAATGTTATACTCTTTTGCTTTTATGAGTTGAAATAGAAATTTTAAAATAACATCAGAGAGGGCAATCTAAAAGTTTATCTATGATTCTTCCCTGGCTCGATAGACAGACGCGACAGTTGAAGGGAAGAGACCAGCTGGTAGTGAATAAGCTGTGGTTTCAATTAATTTTATTGTATTGATTATTTTACGTTATTCTATATTTTTCTATTTTACTGCTTTTCCAGGGATACAATGGCAAAATAGTATTAGCAGAATCAAGAGAGAAAGTCATATCAGATATTTTCAATAGGAAGCCAATCTTCTACAGGGTATATTTTCCTCAGTGGCAAGGAATCCCACCTAAAGTTACTAAAATTGCAGTTAATGGAAACCTCATATGTAGTGGACCTAGAATACCAAGTAAGTTTAAAAAAATGTAAAAAAAATGTAAATGCATAAAATGCTTAATTATTGTCAGGGTAAACTTACAGTTTTTTTTATTATACTTTAACAAGTAAATAATAATAAAAACGATCACAATATTTCAATACTTTTTCAAAAATCCGAAATTAAAAAGTTGCTGTTCATACAAAAAATTCTCTTTGTTATTTATTTACGTTTAAGTAATTCTGAAAAGTATTTTTTGCTAAAGATGTCTGTTAATATTTATACACAGTTTTTTAAATGACTGTTATTATATAATAAGCAAACGTTCATCACAAATTCAATTACCTCTACTTATTCATATTTGTATAGGCATTCAATGCAAATAAGCTTATAATTGGTAAATTTAATATTTACTTCTGAATTATATCTCATTTGCATCTATTTAAAACGAGCAGATAATCTTTATTAATAATTTAAATAATATATGAATTTTATTTTGAAAAAAACATATCATGGAGAAATATTAATGGAATATATGTAGACCAAACCAAACCAGGCACATAATAACATTATTGAAGATGCAGATATTATAGTTTTGTTTCTTTAAAGAAGTTAATTAAAAAATTAAAAATAAAAACAAAATAAATTCTTACAGCTTTTTAAAATATTATTATCACAACTGATTCAGCGGTCCATACACTATCAAACAAGGTGCGCAACAAAGCGATGCGCAACGTTCCGTTGCCCATGCACTTAGTAAAATTTTGATCAAACTTTTTATTAAAAGTTGTGCATTGTTTGAGAAACAATCATGTCCTCAATTGCCATTGCGTCAATTATTATCGTATATACCCTAGATGATGTGACAAACCAAAAAACGAAAAAGAAAACAAAGAATTTGGATGAAAGAACTAAAATATTGCACAACGAAGCGCAACACACACATACACTACACAACGCGTTGCGCAAACAGTCCGTTGCACAAAAGAATTCAAATATTCTTGAAACTCATCAAACAATTGCGCAACGCATCAAACACTATCATACATTGGCAACTCGTTGCGCAACAGCCTGCGTTGCGCAATTTGTTTGATAATGTATGGGCCGCTTTAGTACCAGCTGGTATTCTTCGCTTTTTTTCGAGTATTCGCGTGTCTCTCGGTCATTTTTTAAACAAAGTTTCAATGGAGTTCAGAACTCGACTTCTTACATAAAATAAGCTAATATTTAGGTACATATATGCTCAAACTTTCATGCAAATGGTGCTTAAACCGGCAGGCTGGTTTTGAATAGGCTGTGGTATAATATATAAGTCCAGAGTGACTCAGGCTTCCGCAAAAACTCAATATTAGGTTTTTGGTTTGTGATATTTATCTCATTTTTTTAGTAATATGGGGGCAATGGTAACGCACATTTTGAAAATATTTTTGTCATCATACAGGGTGATCAAACATATTTTCAAACTAAAGTTGAATGTTTTTGAATGGAATGCTATATATTTTTCAGCTCAGTGGATTTTCCATTAAATTTCCATTCCAAAAATACCATAATATACTATACCGAGTTGTTTTTGAAAAAAAAAATCTCTCAAAAACTCTCAAATTTTTTTTGACAGGAAGTATTGTATAATAGTAGTAACAAACAAAATTTGGTCTACGAAAATTTGTCTCAATCTTGTTTGATATATACAGGGTGAGTCATAGTTAATTGTTGTATTTTTCTCCACTATTTTAAACAGAGGACACTATATTTTGTATCATAATCAAACAGAGCTTTGTTTAATCTTATTGTTTTACCAAGCATTTTCTAAACCTAAAATAGATATTTAATGAGAAAATTGTTTTTTTTTAATATACAGGGTGGTCTGAACTGTATTCCAGAAACTTCGGCGGCATATTCTGCAGATTAAAATAAGTAAAAAATTTCGTATAAATTTATGTCCTAAAATGCTTAGTTTCGGAAATACAGGGTGTAAAAATTTCATTTTTATTTCCATTTTTTTCCAAATAATTTAAGAAGTAACGTCAATATTTGAATGAAAATTGATGTCTGGGAGTTTTTGGCAATGAGAAATTTGATTTTCATGTTAATATGACTTCTACTTGTAGAGGGCGCCACCTACATATGCTTTAACTGGTTTGAAGAGTAATAACTTTTCATCCATACCTGTATAAAACCACTGAGTAAAAAAATACACATTTACAACTTTTTCTACATAAAAAAGGTCTCTTGGTAAAAATCGCTACGAGTAATGGTTCTCGAGATATTTGAAATTGAAATTATCAATACCTGTCATGATTGACAAATTAAACATGTTGACAATGTTGACCAAATAGTTATTAGACTGAAATCTTAAATTTGAAATCTTTTTTTGCCAAAAGTTCAACAGAAACTGTTTAATCATCATTTTTTCGCAGAAAAATTTATGATTAATTTAAAAAAATAAAAATTTATTATTTCAGTCAAATAACTCTCTCTATTCAAGGTGTGCTTATTTTTTGTCAATAATGACATGTATTGACGATTTCCGTTTTAAATATCTTGAGAACGGTTGCTCGTAGCGATTTTTACCAAGAGATATTTTTTACGTAAAAAGTCATGGAAATTTATATTTTTTTAGTCAGTAGTTTTATACAGGTACCGTCGAAAAGTTATTACTCTTCAAAACAGTCAAAATGCATGTAGATGGCGCCCCCTACAAATAGGAGTCATTTTGACATCAAAATTAAATTTGTCGTGTCACAAAACTCCCAGACACCAATTTTCATCCTGATATTGACGTTTCTTCAGAAATTATCTAGAAAAAATCGAAATAAAAATGAAACTTCTACACCCTGTATCTCCGAAACTAAGTATTTTAGGACTTACATTTATACGAACTTTTTTACTTATTTTTATGCGCAGAATATGCTACCGAAGTTTCCGGAATACAATTCGGACCACCCTGTATAACAAAATTTTATTTTCGTTCTTTTAATAATAGGCGTAGAGTTAAAAATCACAAACCCAAAAACATAATATAGAATTTTTTCGGAAGCCTGGACCACCCTGTATATATTAAAAAACTACAACTAATATACCCTAATCTCTTCTAGTTCATCTCGTACCTGTACTCACCACCATCAACATCCAACACAAACTCAGCCTAGGCGTGACGCCACTGATCTCAAACTCCGACCCTACCGTCGAAGGTACCTTCAACAACATAGCTCCTAATACCGGAGGTAACAACTTTCTAATTTATATATGGCGAGGACAACTAACCCCTAACTGTACGTAAGAGCCATTGACTAAAAAGATTAAGGAAGAAATATATATTTATAGAAATATGTAAAATATATAAAAATAAAAAAAAAATACAAAAAGGAAAATAAAAAAAGGAAGAAATATATTAACATAATTGGTAAGACCGAGATAGTGTTTCAATATTTTAAAAATAGGTTAAAAGTTTGTTTAACTTTTTCCACTAATTGAAAATTACCACCACTAATTTTGACGTTGTGAATGATTACATTAAAATTAGGGAAACAAACTTCTACGCTAATAGAAACCACTAACTATTCTACTAATTTCGAGGTTCTGAAAGAGGCTGATTTACTACCTCACACCTTTACAATTACTTACTAATTAAAAATCGTTCCACTATTTTTTATATTTTTAGTATGGGAATTATGCACGAGTAACTATTTATGTAGTTTTTTTTTAATTTTGACATTAATATCACTATAAATTGAGCCTTGATACTTCTTCTTCCCAGATTTAAACACATTCCGTAAAAAAATAAACACAAATAAACCATGCAAATTCGCAAAAATTAAAAATTGATCAGAGAACGAATTGAGAGAAAAGTCAAATTTCTCTTCTTCTATTGCAGATCCATTAATAGATGTTTGCGATAACATTTTCCATTGCTTCTCTGTTCCGGGCGGTGTGTATTAACGACTGAACATCTAGTAGCCCTGTCCACTGTCTAATATTCCTCAGCCAAGACATTTTCTTCCTTCCGATACCCCTCCGGCCTTCGATCTTGCCTTCTATCAACAAATGCAAGAATTGATATTTGGGGTTTCGCATTATGTGCCCCAGGTATGCAGTCTTTTTCTTTTTAATCAATTCAAATAATTCACGCTCTTTGTCAACGCGTCTGAGAACTTCCTCATTTGTCAATCTAGCCGTCCAAAGTATCTTCAGGAGTCTGCGATATAGCCACATCTCAAAAGCCTCCAATTTGTTGATGGTAGCTGCTTTCAATGTCCCTTCCATACCATAATGGAGCACCGACCACGCATAACACTTTACGAATCTTAATCTAAGGCTAAGGTCAAAATCAGAACAGACAAGTACTTTTCGAAACCTCAAGAATGCCTGCCGAGCTTGTTCGATGCGACATTTAATTTCCTTGTCTGATGTCCAATCTTCGGAGAGCCAGATGCCCAAGTACTTAAATTTATCTACTCTTTCTATGGTTAAATGTTAGGATGGAGTTTATAAACACATCTGGATTTCTGGATATAATCATAAATTTGGTTTTCTTGATGTTGATGTTTAAACCCATTGCTTTGCTCTGTTCTCCTACCTTGTTGACCAGTTGTTGTAGGTCGTGTATATTGTCTGCAATTAAGACCGTATCGTCGGCATAGCGGATATTATTAATCCACACTCCATTAATTTTGACCCCCATTTCCACGTCCTCCAGAGGCTCTTGGAAAATAGCTTCTAAGTATAAATTAAAAGGATGATTCACGGTACACCGTGACGGGCCGGGGCCGTGCGACGGTGAGGGCACGGCCAAACATTGTCAAATGTTATTTATACTTATAGGTATATTCATGCTAAGCCGAGCACGGTCCGAGCTTCGCCGGAACCCGTCCGTGCCCCGTCCAAGAAATGTCGGTGTACGTTTTTCCTCGGATCCGCTACGGTCCGGCCCCGTTGCGGCAAACGCCGCGGCTAAATACTTCGTTCGTCTACGGGCCTATAGCGACTGTTTTCTAGCAGTGTTGCCGCACCCAACTTTTAGCGCGAACCACATTATAAACTAAAAATGTACCACTTTGGTACAATTTTTTAAAGCACAACAAAATACATCTGCAAATGACTTTAACCGGTTTGGTCGTTGTGAATTTCTTCATAAATTTCTACATAAAAAAAACTTCCTGGAGAAAGACACAAATCGAGACGAAAAACATGAAATAGAAATTCAGAAAACCCAATTATAAGTATGTATAGGTTGAAGAAATCTAAGTAATTCTAATACTACACACAATACTTGGAAAACTTAAATTTTATTAAAAAAAAACGCAAATATAGAAGCATGTTAGAAACAGTAAATTTTCAAGTTTTTTCTTCGGGTTATTTAATATAGGCAACGCTATAGACATTACAACGTTTATACTACGTCGTTAATTAATGCGGATTGTCTCCGAATGGTATCGGTAAGCGCGTTTAATGCAATATCAACGACAATAATTATTAAATATCTATTCATTTTCGGTGCGCGTGGGAAATAATTACTGTACCAAATCATCCTGGATTTGAAAATGTAGTACCACTGTACCAAATAGAATTAAAAGTATCAAATTTGGTACAAATGTACCACTGCGGCAACACTGTTTTCTAGAATATAATCGGCACGGACATGATCCCCGTTGTCCACTCGGTGTAGCATATATTGAAGGCCCGGACGTGGCTCGGTGTCTACTTTACGGAACGTGCCCGGCTCGGGTACGGTCCGGTGTACCGTGAATCATCCTTAATAGGAGTGGAGACAGCACGCAACCCTGTCGCACCCCCTTCTAACTTGTATGGGATTGGACATGGTATTGGACAATTTTATTTGTGCTGTTTGGTTCCAGTATAACTTCTCAATGCATTGGTCAAATGTAAAAAATTCAAAGTCAAATTTTACTGACACAAATAGTTTTTCTCATTGGTTACCATGACGTGGTTTCCGTTTTTAATGTAATGTATAAATACGGAAATGGCTTTTAAAACTCCTTCCTTGATCTTTTTATTGAATGGTAATACAATAGTAGAAGAAATCTAGTAGCTTTACTCCTCGTTAAATCCTTTGTTCTTTTTCTGTCACATTCTGTAACCTTACCTAACTTATTATACAGGATGGTCCAAATTGTATTCGGGAAACTTCGGCAGCATGTTTTGTAAATGAAAATAAATAAAAAAGTTCGTATAAATGTATATCTTAAAATTCCGAGATACAGGGTGTAGAAGTTTTATTTTTATTTCGTTTTTTTTCCAAATAATTTCTGAACTCTAGTCGGTATCTGGGTGTTTTTGACATCATTTTCATTTCTAGGTGGCGCCATTTACGTGGCTATTACTCTTCAAACCAGTTCAAAAATATATAGGCGGCGCCCTCTACAAGGCGGCATCATATTGACATCAAAATCAAATTTATCATGTCAAGAAACTCCCAGACACCAATTTTTTACCAAATATCGACGTTAGTTCAGCAATTATTTGGATAAAATTGAAATAAAAATGAATAAAAAACTTCTACACCCTGTATTACCGAAACGAAGCATTATATGCTGCTGCGGAATATGCTGCCGAAGTTTCCCGAATACAATTTGGACCAGCCTGTATATAATGGTATACAATAAATTTAAAAAATTGGTTTGGTCATTGGTTGAAATATTACACGAAAATATTTTTATCTATCATTTAAGGAATAGTACAATTCCATTTAATTGAAAAATGGCAATCCCACTCTGTTTTAGGACACATCTCAACTGAAGCGCTCTGCATGCTGCCAACAATCTGCCGAATTTTGTCGGCTGGCAGAAAATATTTGGGACAGTGGGACTACTCTTTTCCTTCTACTATGGTAAAAATCTAAACGACAATTAAGTCTAAAACAACTATTTTTCTTCTTTTTCAGATAACAACCCACCACCACCACCACCACCTCCTCCTGAAAACTACCCTATCGACGTGAGAAGAGACACAAGTAATAACGATCCTACCGTAGAAGTGTTGGAGATAGACGCCGAGAGTGGCAGAGTTGACAATAGTAGGAATCGGCCGAAAGGACCGAATCGACATAAGTTCAACCCTAAAGGACCTCGACCCAAGATTGAATACGGTTCATCTGGAGATCCTTGGGTACCCCCAGGTCTACGTCCAGGTCCACCTCCAGGGCCACCTCCAGGTCCACCTCCAACAGACCCACCCCAGCAGTCACCTGGAGGGAATCCAAACCAGGCTTTTCCTCAAAATCCGTTTTTTGTCGGGCTTTCCACACCAGAACCTACCGATGATACATCAATACAAAGTAAGTTCTTGTACTTAAAGTGACACTGCTTATATAGGGTGTCTCATTATTGAGCCCAAATGAACGGTTCATAAGAAGCACGTCAGATTTTATTTTTGTCAAAAAAATTTACCAAAAAAAAATTTCTCTGCGTTCCTGAAATGCAGGACGAATTTGAAATGGTTGCATTTTTTTACTCCCCTCGTATCATATGAAACCAAACCAACTACTACCTATGTTGCCATATTATCAAGAAATCATGTTTTTTAACTAAAAACTAAAAAATTTTATCGTTTTTCAAGTAAATCCAAAATAATCGAGTTATTTTACTTTGAAAATTTCCAAAAGAAATACTTTTTGCTAAAATTTTGAGAACCACTGAATTTTTTTTGTAAATTTAATCTTCTACCTATGTTGCCATATTATCAACAATTATGTTTTTTAACTAAAAACTAAAAAATCCATTTTTTTTTAAAAGATTTCAAATTTTCAATTTTTTTCGCGAAACTCATAATCGTGTTTCTTGGGTCAAAATATACTACCCCTAAAATATTTGCACTTAATTAAGACTCACCTTGTATATTTGGTTTTACCAATACTAAAATTGTTTTTTATTTTTAGTTGATAACAATCCATTCTTGAATTCGAGAACTTCGCAAAGACCCGTTCTATTCGAGCCCAATAGTGTACCTAGTTCAACTAGCATACCAGATATACCACAGCGAGGCAGACCAAATGGGTAAGATTTTATTGAAAAAACTAAAAAAGTTCGATTAAATTTATATATCCGAAACTAAAGTTCCAAGAAAAGTCGTAATATATCTACAAATTCATTTACCCACTAGTAGATATAAAAAGCATTTTTGGTAAACTCTGTCTCAAATAGTTTCTGAAAACAAAAAATTAATTTTTTTAAAAAGGTCCGATTAAATTTATATCTCCGAAACTAAAGTTCCAAGAAAAGTCGTAATATATCTACAAATTCATTTACCCACTAGTAGATATAAAAAGCATTTTTGGTAAACTCTGTCTCAAATAGTTTCTGAAAAATAAAATTAATTTTCTTAAAAAGGTCCGATTAAATTTATATCTCCGAAACTAAAGTTCCAAGAAAAGTCGTAATATATCTACAAATTCATTTACCCACTAGTAGATATAAAAAGCATTTTTGGTAAACTCTGTCTCAAATAGTTTCTGAAAAATAAAATTAATTTTCTTAAAAGGTCCGATTAAATTTATATCTCCGAAACTAAAGTTCCAAGAAAAGTCGTAATATATCTACAAATTCATTTACCCACTAGTAGATATAAAAAGCATTTTTGGTAAACTCTGTCTCAAATAGTTTCTGAAAACTAAAATTATTTTTTTTAAAAAGGTCTGATTAAATTTATATCTCCGAAACTAAAGTTCCAAGAAAAGTCGTAATATATCTACAAATTCATTTACCCACTAGTAGATATAAAAAGCATTTTTGGTAAACTCTGTCTCAAATAGTTTCTGAAAAATAAAATTAATTTTCTTAAAAAGGTCCGATTAAATTTATATCTCCGAAACTAAAGTTCCAAGAAAAGTCGTAATATATCTACAAATTCATTTACCCACTAGTAGATATAAAAGCATTTTTGGTAAACTCTGTCTCAAATAGTTTCTGAAAAATAAAATTAATTTTCTTAAAAGGTCCGATTAAATTTATATCTCCGAAACTAAAGTTCCAAGAAAAGTCGTAATATATCTACAAATTCATTTACCCACTAGTAGATATAAAAAGCATTTTTGGTAAACTCTGTCTCAAATAGTTTCTGAAAAATAAAATTAATTTTCTTAAAAAGGTCCGATTAAATTTATATCTCCGAAACTAAAGTTCCAAGAAAAGTCGTAATATATCTACAAATTCATTTACCCACTAGTAGATATAAAAAGCATTTTTGGTAAACTCTGTCTCAAATAGTTTCTGAAAAATAAAATTATTTTTTTTTAAAAGGTCCGATTAAATTTATATCTCCGAAACTAAAGTTCCAAGAAAAGTCGTAATATATCTAGAAATTCATTTACCCACTAGTAGATATAAAAAGCATTTTTGGTAAACTCTGTCTCAAATAGTTTCTGAAAAATAAAATTAATTTTCTTAAAAAGGTCCGATTAAATTTATATCTCCGAAACTAAAGTTCCAAGAAAAGTCGTAATATATCTAGAAATTCATTTACCCACTAGTAGTTATAAAAAGCATTTTTGGTAAACTCTGTCTCAAATAGTTTCTGAAAAATAAAATTAATTTTTTTAAAAAGGTCCGATTAAATTTATATCTCCGAAACTAAAGTTCCAAGAAAAGTCGTAAAATATCTACAAATTCATTTACCCACTAGTAGATATAAAAAGCATTTTTGTTGAACACTGTCTCAAATAGTTCCGATTAAATTTATATCTCCGAAACTAAAGTTCCAAGAACTCACTAGTAGATAAAAAAGCATTTTTAGTAAACTCTGTCTCAAATAGTTTCTGAAAAATAAGATTAAATTTTTAAAACGGTCCGATTAAATTTATATCTCCGAAACTAAAGTTCCAAGAAAAGTCGTAATATATCTACAAATTCATTTACCCACTAGTAGATATAAAAAGCATTTTTGGTAAACTCTGTCTCAAATAGTTTCTGAAAAATAAAATTAATTTTTTTAAAAAGGTCCGATTAAATTTATATCTCCGAAACTAAAGTTCCAAGAAAACTAATACAATTCCTATTCTATTTTACAATAACCATAGATAAATGAAACAAGTTTAGATTGGAAAGTACTCATAAGGATAATGTAAATACTATTTCACCCTGCTCTTGCAGCGGACGCGACTCAAAGCTTTTAAATTATATGGGAAAATGTTTTCTATTCAATAATAATAAAATACAGTATGTTACATATAAAAAACCGTATTTTATTTAAACACATGACACATGTATTTAATAAATTACGATAGTAATAATTTCAACATTTTTGTAGCAATGCTTTGGAGAACATCGAAAACATTTGCGGGCGACCCATAGCTACAAACTCTCTGGTAGTTAACGGTCACTCAGTACCCAGAGGAGCTTATCCGTGGCTGGTAGCTATTTTCCGTCAGTTGGAAAACGTCAGTCTCAGCTACATATGCAGCGGGTCGCTTATTTCCAACAGACATGTGGTGACTGGTAAGTTTATTATCTAATATTATTTAACACTGATTGGGGATAGAAAATTAATAATAATTTAATAATGTTAATTATTCAATTTAGCCGCCCATTGTGTGAAGTTGGAGACTAGGAGAATCAAACCGAATGAACTGTTGTGCGTATTCGGAAAATTAAATATAAGAAAATGGGTTACATCTGCTGGAGAAAAAATGCTGGAACCCGAATCTATAATTGTTCATCCTGGTATGTGAATTATTACAGTCCTAACTAAACAAAATATAATAACAAATGATAATAGTACAAATGAATTAAATATGGTACTTGTAGTATTCTATTTTTGACATAATCGTTTCAATTTTGTTAATAATTGCATAGTATCAGAAAAATAGTTCATTTAACACAACTGCATCAAATAGCAATTCTACCGATTATATTATTAATTATGGATTTAACACACCGGATAACAATTATTATTGGAATTTTGGTTTATTTCTTAAAAAATCACTAAACAAAACGTACATACATTTACAGTAAAACGAATTGTAAAATTTAGATTCTGAAAAATATTGCAGAAATTCCAGATAGACTTACATAAGCTGCATTAACTATTTCACAATAATTCATTCAGTATAGGTGACAACTCTAGAAAATTTTATGATATACGTTAACTAATAATCTGTCGAATTAATTTTTTATGCAATTCTGTTAAATGGACTACTACTAAATAATTCCGATATGCAGTTAACAGAATTCAAATTACTATTTTACTTGCTCTGTATACAGGGTTGCTCACCACATACAACACGGAGTATTGTAGCTAAACGATCATATTTTTACAAATTGTAAGTTTTGGGTTCGATGAAGGACTATTAGAGGTACAATTTAAAAATAATTTTACAAGATACAGAGTGTCCCAAATAAGTAAAAAATATCAAAGTTGTATTTTTTTATATGGAACACCCTGTATATAATTACATTTTTAGTTTTTACGATTAAAATAAAGGTAAATTTGATTAAGGTTTATTATATTTAAACCTTACCGTTTTTGAAATATTTTCAATTTTGTGAAATTGCAGTAAAAATTTTAAGGCTTCATTTCTCCAAGGGTATCAAAGTTTTTAATACTAAATATTTACTGAATTTTATTTATTGATCAGTTATTGTGTTGCAATAATAAAAATAATACTACCTTATACAGAGTGTCTAAAAATTTATTTTAAATAATGTCTAGCTTTAAACGCCAATGACTTCTTTAATTTAAATGGAACGCCCTGTATATTTTAATTGTCTATCAAATTGTATTATACCATCTTTTACCTATCCCTTCAAGTTTCCGTAGAAAATGCATTTTCTTATAATTTAGACCTCATTTATCAATATACCCATGGAATATTGACATTTTAGATTGTTTTTAAAGCAACAAATGTACAAAATGTAAAACGATACTAGCCCATTTGTATGCAAAAAGAAAACTATTTAAATCTTTATAAAAGAGTATACCATTAATTAAATATAACACCATTATTTCGGTCCATATACTAATTAATTACATACTTAATTGTGTTCGTTAATAAATTATGCTAAATAAATGTGGATTTGAGTCAGAAATCAATATATTAATAAGTTATCAAAATGAACGTCTCTGTTGTTATAAATAAGCATTCATTAAAAAATGAAATATAATTTTTAAGGTGTTATTTTTTACCACACTGTCTAATACACATACAAAACTCAGTTTTTTAGTATTTGGGGCAATTATTATTAATCAACGCAAACAGTCAGTTAATGTAGTTTGAATACTGGAATCATATTAATTGGTCCTCTTTAACAAATATTTAAACAGTTTTTTTTTATTTTTTAATGAAATAAACGAATTATATCGACAATATTACTATCTGTACTCTTTAAAAAATTTGGTACATCTTTAAAAATAATCTAAAATGTCAATATTCCATGGGTATATTGATAAATAAGTTCTAAATTACAAGAAAATGCATTTTCTACGGAAACTTAAAGAGATAGGTAAAAAATGGTATAATACAATTTGATAGACAATTAAATTGTGCATCTGATTCTCATAAAATATACAGGGTGTTCTATTTAAATTAAACAAGTTATTACCGTTTAAAGCTAATAATTATTTAAAATAAATTTTTAGACACTCTGTATAAGGTAGTATTATTTTTATTATTGCAACACAATAACTGATCAATAAATAAACTTCAGCAAATATTTAGTATTAAAAACTTTGATACCCTTGGACAAATGAAGCCTTAAAATTTTTACTGCAATTTAACAAAATTGAAAATACTTCAAAAACGGTAAGGTTTAAGTGTAATAAACCTTAATCAAATTTACATTTATTTTAATCGTAGAAACTAAAAAATGTAATAATATACAGGGTGTTCTATTTAAAAAAATACAACTTTGATATTTTTTACTTATTTGGGACACTCTTTATTTTGTAAAATTATTTTTAAATTGTACCCCTAGTAGTCCTTCATCGAACCCAAAACTTACAATTTGTAAAAATCTTATCGTTTAGCTACAATACTCCGTGTCGTATGTGGTGAACAACCCTGTATATAATGTACATTTTTTGTAGATTACGAGACAGGATCAGCAAACGCCGACATAGCAGTCCTAACTTTCCCAGATCCAATACAATTTAACAAGCTCATAAGACCAATTTGCTTATGGTCAGGTCCAAGTGACTTAAACATAGTAGTAGGCAAAGAAGGCATTGTTGTTGGGTACGTATTTTATTTTCTAAAGTTTAATGTTAAATCCGTGGCTTCAAATTGAATTATATATTATATTAGTAGATAAATTCTCATGATGTGTTAATATATTATTTTTTAGATGGGGAAAAGATGAAAATGGAGACATCAGCACTGCAGAGCCCAGACAGATTGGTTTGCCCATTGTAAGCCAAGAAAGCTGTTTAAGAAGCGACAAAAATGCAGGAGGTGCATTCCTCCACATCACATCTGACAAAACTTTTTGTGCTGGTAATTAAATATGAAATATACTTAGTATAAATTTAACAAATATTAACCTATTAATGCATATTAAAAGCAAACTTAAATGACATCTGAATAAATAATAGCGACATGTTCATAATTTCGCCCATCTTCAATAAGAGCAACGCCAGAATCTTCGACACTAAGGACCATTATTCAATCGTAGGTATATACATAGATAAAGGAAACAAAAATTTAGATTGGAAAATGCCCATAAGGACAATGTAATTACTAATTGGAGCTATTCTTACAACGGTTGCTCTCCAAAGCTTTTGATAATTTCGGAGCGGTTCGGCTTTTTCCGGAATTATGTCGCCAAATATATTTTATTCAAATTTATTACTATTTTCTTTTAATTTTTTAAATAAAATAGAGCGCGTAGAATATAAGAAACTTTATTTTATATAAGGACGTGTATGAAATACCTATGAAACATTGGAAACCGACGTTATGCCACGATTAACGATGGTTTTTGCAGTTCACGGTTCACACAGCTTTTTAAAATTTTAATGCCACTTTTTCAGAATTATCACGGGTTTGAGTAAATAAAATTTAAATTAAACTCACAAGATAATTACTTTGAAAATGGACGCTTTAAACTTTTCGGTATTTCTTCAGGGGGCAGTTTAAATTTTGAAAGATTATATTAGGTTGTGATTTTCGGCTATGTTTATTAACACACTATCATTACACTAAAAGTAATATTTTACAAAATTTTGGTGTACTTTTAATCAGTTTAAAAATGGTAAATAATAATGATTATAAAAATTGATGAGAATGGGGGCGACAAAAGTAGAGCAACAAATTGTATTCAAGAGATTTTATTGTGTCTTATTTCAACAAAAAATATTTAACACATTTAAGAACAATGATAATTGAAAGTAATACATTAATAATTGATAGAATATCCATTATTATTAATAACTTGCTGACAACGGCGCGGCACTGAAGCAATCAACTTCTGAATGACATTTTCGGGAAGATTTATTCAAACTTCATTAATTTTATCTATCAAGGATTCTTTATTTGGAAAACGAATACGACGTTGTACTTCTTCCCAGAGATTTTCAATGGGGTTAAGGTCTGGGGATTGTGCTGGCCATTGCAAAACTCGAACGCGCGTCATTTTCCCTAAACCACTGTTGAACAACTTGTGAAGAGTGTTTTGGATCGTTGTCCTGTTGGAAAATAAAACGCAATGGCATTTCCCATTCTGCATAAGGAAGCATAACATTCTGCATGATATCCCTATAAACAAATCGGTCCATCGTGTCATTAATAAAGTGTATAGGGCCTATATCCCATTCCATGAGAAAAATACACTGCCTTTACCATGTTTAATTGTAGGTGTTACGTATTTAGGACTAAACCTTGTATTGATTGGTCGCCTCACACGTCTCATTCCATCAGAACTGAATATTTTGTAGCGCGTTTCATCGCTAAACAGAACTTTTTTCCAGTCATTGACGGTCCAGTTTAAATGCCGACGTGCGAATGCCAACCTTGCTGCTCTATTTCTTTCCGAATTTTAGCTGGACGTCTACTAAATAACTTTGCATCTACTAATCTTCTTTGTACTGTTCGTATACCAACCGTAATTTCTGGAATTTCGGCAATAATTCTAGGTGCAGACTTCCAAGGATCACTTCGAGCAATTCTTTTGATGCGTCTCTCGGTCATTACTGTTGTTTTCTTTGGCCTTCCCGATTTTGGCAACTTTTCTAAGTGTCTCCTGTCATTATACGATGAAATTATTTTAGATACACTGTACCGGGGTAACATAAACTGTCTTGAAATATCGGCTTGTTTGTTACCTTCCATGAATGCATTCACAACTCTGCTTCAAGTCTTTTGAAATTGGAATTCCTCTTGGCATGACTAATCCAGCATAGAAATGTTTAAAAAAAACATAAAATAAACCTCGCACAATTATTTTGGCATTTACTTTTGCTAGAACCCTTCTTGGGAATGAATTATTTGAATGTTGCTCTACTTTTGACGCGTTACTATTAAGCATTTAAAACTAAATGTCAAAATAAATTCATTTGTTTTGTTAGTAAAAATTCTTGCTATCATGGATACTCCTAGCCTACTTCGTAGTTTTTTAATTTATTTTATCTGTATACATTATCATGCATGTATAATTAAAAAATCGTGATTTGCAAATATTTCTCGAAGTGTTGCTCTACTTTTGTCTGATAGTGTATGTGGCGGATTCATCTCTCCAAAAAAATCCTTTAAGGGTATTTCGCCACTGCACTGCAAGAAAATCTACAAAATAAAATAGTTATTTTTTGTAAACACTTCTGCGTTAAACCTAAACGGACACTGTCAGAAGTTATGTTTACAGTAATACAAATTTGCCTAACAAAGAAAAAAATACTTAACGTTTCGGAAAGTTTATCTCTTTCTGTATGTTTTTTTTATTTTTTTTTTTCATCCTCACTATATTATGGTAAAAATATGACTTATATTTCAGGCTATAGAAATGGAACGGGACCATGCAACGGAGACAGCGGTTCCGGATTTTTGATGAGAAAAGACGGGGTGTTCTTTTTGAGAGGGATCGTTTCCACAGCCCTCTCCGATGCCACTCATCGTTCCTGCAATTTGCTAGAATACGTAGTTTTTACAGACGCCAGTAAATATCTGGACTGGCTTCTGTCGGTTATTAGATAGGAAATAAATACATTTTTACAAATAATAAGTTGTGTTTTTATTATATATTACCTTTAATTCACGAATTAAGTTCATGTTCTTAGAATAATAAAAATTCATTAATGCCAACCATAAAGTGGGGTTTAAAACAGTATTTTCCTTTGAATAGGAAGATTATGGTTTACTTAACTACCGTTTCATCAGTGCCGTTCAAATTTTAATAGGATAGGATCGATAATTTCAATAAACGAGTCAATAAATCCTTCATTCAGAACCTCGCAATTAGTGGAACAAATTAGTGGCTTCAATTACACTTTATACTTTTTAGTTTACGATCATTCACAATATTTAAAAATCATAATTAAAATTAATAGAATATCCTAGCAACAGCTATCGTTTAGTCAGTTGTATCTATATAGAAAGCTTAATATTTAGCTTTGAATAAGAAGACTAAGGAAGGAGCATATCAAAAATATTAGGGACACCGCGATGGGCCTCAAATATGGCCGACTTAAATTCCGGTTTATCAGTGTCGTTCTAATTTTATTTAAAAAATGTAAAACTATGATGTAGGGTAGACGTGGGGTAGACTCAATAATTTGTTGTTTTATTTTACGTTGTGAATAAATGTTGGTAGTTATTAAAATTGTTATAAAAATATATAATTATAATAAAAATAGATAAGTTATAATAAGTATTTATTAACACAAACATCCGATACGCTACTGAAGCAGGTAAGTCAAATTAAGGTATCTAAATTCTTTGATATCTAATCTTTGACAAGTAATAAATAAAAGCTAAAGTGCAAGAAAAATATATAATTTAGTTAATTTAAGTGAATTTCATAAATCATCGGTTTACTACACGTATGTATATTATATAGTCACTTACTAGCGAAAAGCTTTGCGAAAAGTTGTTCCATTATTTCACTCAATTTTTGCCGAGATCTACCGCACGCTACACAACCAACTATTTTTTCGAGTCTTTTTCGATAAATCGCGATAGTGTCACTGTTAATTTAAGTTCTGCCACAATTTCCATCTAGATTTACTACCTTTATACAACTATCAGTAGTAGAATAAATAATAAATAACATAAAATAAGCTCTGTAAAGACTGACAAATCCACAAAATTTCAAATCAAATTCAAATGTGTCAAATGAATCGTCAAACAGAACTGTCAAGGATTCCCACTCTAGAGTGCTTTTTCCGCCCACCATACATGAATACATGGATAGCATTATGCTCCTTCCTTAGTCTTCTTCAGGCCCTAGACACTCGATAGTAATTTTATGGGACTACAAATTTAGTTTCTTCCGCATCGCCAGACGGCGCAAAAGACATGAAAGTACAGGTTTCTAATTTATATACGAAGATGACATGACATCTTCTATATTTACTATCATCTATGGTCTAGTTTTGATCTAGTTGTCAAAATGTTGGTGATTCGTCAAATTATTTTTAAATCATTTTTAAATAATTATTAATTCAGATATTCCTGATTTGCCGGAAAGTTAGGTGATTTGTGTTTATAGTTTGTGTTTTTATTAGTTTGTGCATTTTGATATTTACGGTCGATCACCATTTTCGTGTTAGATACTAAACTTTTTTATTAAAGACATTTTTTTAAACATCTTAGGAATAATATATTTATGAACGAAATAAAAAAATGTTTAATCATAAATAAGTAAGTACATAGTTGGTAAAATAGTATTTTTAGTAACAGTAAATTAGTAGTCTATAATATTTTTACTATATTATAATTTATTTGTTAAATCAAAAAAATAGGCGCTATGTGCTCTATTGTTGGTGCTACGTATTCATAATTTTATTTTTAGTTTTGAATATGTTACATTTCTAATGATTTAATAAAACATAAGATATAGTAAACAAGTCTATATTTTTTATATTTTACAAGGAATAATTTTGTGCTTTAATAACGTTACCGTTTTAGTTAGCGTTAATAAATAACGGAATGCTAAAATTGTGTCATGCCAAAACTCTCCATTAGTTTCTTCCGGATCACCAGGGGGCTCTAAGTGAAGGATTTATTTGTTTTATATCAGTGTCCAATCTATCTCTAGTAGGTGACATTAGTCTATGGTCTTCTTATTCAAAGATATTTAGCTTATAAAACAATCGACTTTTGATTTCTAACTACAATTTCTCTTGACGAGAGATAATCAAAGGCCAAAATGACATTTCCCGCACATTTTGAAGTGTAATTACTGGAAAAGTTAAAAGTTCGATAGCTTTTTCTACTAATTGAAAATGTCTACCACTAATTTTGACGTTCTGAATGCTTACATCAGAGAATAGGTACATTGAAATTAACAACAAACTTCTACGCTAATTGAAACCACTGATTTATTCCACTGATTACGAGGTTCTTAATGAAGCTTTAGTTTACGATCATTCACAATGTTTAAAAAACAAAATTAAAGTTAATAGAATATCCTGGCAACAGCTTGCGTTAGTCAGTTGTATTCATAGAGAAAGCTTAATATTTAGAAAAAAAAAATGAACTTTTGATTTCTAACCATAATTTCTCTTGGCGGAAGATAATCAAAGGCCAAAATAACATTTCTCGCAAATTTGAAGTATATTTAGTGGAAAAGTTAAAACTTTGATAACTTTTTCTACTAATTGAAAATGTCTACCATTAATTTAGACGTTCTGAATACTTACATTGAAATTAGAGGAACAAACTTCTACGCTAATTGAAACCACTAATTTATTCCACGAATTGCGAGGTTCTGAATGAAGCTTTAGTTATTGTAAAAAAACTGTTGTTCATAAAATTATTGTAAAAAATATATTCCTAATTAAAATAATTAAGGTATAATAATTATTTAACAACAAATAGATCAGATACGCTACTAGAATACCTGACGTTCTGCTTATTACCTATTGACAGTTAGCAGGCAGTTATTTTAGTTTCAAAGTAAAGGAATTTTTCCAATTTTTTTATCTCAAAAACTGCGACTTTGACTGATTTTGATGTTATTACAAATTTTGTTGCAAATATTATTCCTAATCTTAAATTGAAAACCGCGTTTTGCTAGCTACTGTAATTTTGGAGTTACGATTTTTTTAAATTTTTAACCCCCTCCCATACCCCCTTACCAATTGGTATGGTCGCTAAAAAGAAAAGTTATATAATTAGTTAATTCTAATTCAGAACCTGGAAATTAGTGGAATATAAATTAGTGAATCGAAAAAAAGAAATAAAGTATAATTAAATTTTATAATTAAATATGAGAATATTGAGATAAAGAAAATGTTATGCGATTCACTGGTTTTATCACACTTTAATCACTGCCAAATTGTGTTTCTTTCAGATTACTTCTATTAGAAGGATGGGCAGAAAGTACAAAACTCATGTTTACGATTAATTTTTGGAATTTAGCTGGTTAAACATGTAAAATCAACGTACGTTGCATTTATTTTCTCTTTCTAATGATTACTAGATAACTAGATATATTTTTTATATACCGGGTGCGTCTCAAAAGTGGCTCACTCCTATAACTTTTTATTTTTTCAGATAAAAAACGAGATTCGGTATGTTGGTCTATGACTTAAATTAGGATTGATTGACGGTATTCAATTGTTTTTGGTCGCTTGAATAGAATGACATATCATATGTCAACTTTTGACATTTTCTCATATGGATTATTTGAAATTGTAACATGCGGTTCATAAGGACAATTTGACTCGAAATACCAAGTGTGTGTATCAAATTATTCGTAAGAAATGATTTTTCCAAATATGCTAATGAGCCACCCCTTTTCCATCTGAAAAAATTGAAATATGATTAAAAAACGATTTGGTTATCTTTTAACCGGCCAGGATAAGACATGAAAACCATTAGACGATCAAATCTATCTTTCCAAGACTCACTGATCAAAAGTCATTTTGAGACACATTAGATTGAATATTAAAATACGACTTTTTTAAAGCAAAAATGTCAAAAGTTGACATATGATATGTCATTCTATTCAGGGGTGTATTTTCTGTTGAATAAAGTAAAAAATTACCGGGAGTGCTATTTAAAAATCAAAAGTTGTAGTAATTTCCGGTGAAACAGGAAGTGGTCAAAAACAATTGAATACGTCAATTAATCCTAATTTATCTTATATACTAACATACCAAATCTCGATTTTTTATCTACAAAAATAAAAAAGTTATAGGGGTAAGCCACTTTTTTAAGACCGCACCCGGTATAGTATCACTTATTTCAATCGCCATAGTTATTTTTCTTCAGTAATGTTGAGTATATGTAGGCCTAAATCAAAATAGAAGAGAGAAACTGAACAAATGAGGCAAAGAAAATAAAGTACAACTTAACAAATATAGCTAGAGACGTGAGAAATATAAAATAACACGCATCCGGTGCTATCACCAAGCCTCTTCCTATATTTGTACAACTGTACTCCTATTATTGGTGCCAGAGTGCCAGCTCACCAAGGGATAAAAGGCAATAAAAAAGCAAACGATCTAGCTAGTAAAAGAACAAACACTCCAGTAACTGGACCAGAACCGCTCTGCTTCCTAAGTGGAAAGCATCTTAAAGTAGAACCGCAGGAACCCAAGACCTGGAAGACTCCATCCCGAACCTGGAATGGGAATTCTCTCAAATTTCTTAAATCTAGTATTTTTCTTGATTTAAGTAAGAACAATCTTCGGATTGTCATGGGGTTTTTAACAGGACACTGTCTCCTCAAAGAACATTTCAGTAGATTGAAATTAAGAAACAACGGCGAATGCAGTTTCTGTGGGGAAAATGGGGAAACACCAGAACACCTTATCACTGAGTGCGTCGACAACTGGCTTTTGTTAAAGCGCCGATGATGAGTTATAACTCAAGAAACGAGAACAATAGATCTATAAGGCCGCGTTTTTTTATGGCGATAAGGATCTAGAGTTTAAAAATGTGTTTTAGTGGTTGTGGTTGATTTCTGCAATCAAGTACTTCCTTCTCTGATGACACACTATTATAAGCAATTGTTAAAAATATGACTCAATAAAAACATTGCGTTCCCTACTGTTTATACTTGGTTTTTATATTTTTCTGACGCCAAATGCAATTTTTCCCAAACGTTATTATAACAGCACGCGCAACCGCGCCATATTAAAAAATTCCTTCGCGATTTGACAACCACCTTCCAAATAATTCACTGGGATTTATTTATTACCCAGTGATGCACGACGGTGCATCAATCTATAGCTTTTAAGTGCAAGTGCAATAAGTATCATATATTATTGTGACCGCTCCGGAAAAAATAGCTGTTTTAAGATAGTGGTGCAATATTTTTAAAACTTATTAATGATATGTGAACTCTTGAGGTATGTATTGGGTATTTCATACACAATTTATAGGGTAAAAAATACATCATGTTATAATTTTTTTAAACTGTTAAAGATAAAGCCCGCTTGATCATAAAACTTTCATGTCCAAACCAACAGTACTAAAATTTTGTTTTGGCCCACTCTTTTCGCAAGTTTTAATTTTATTAATTTTTGAGCTAAATACAAAATATTTATTAAAAAACAAATAATTAGTTTTAAGTCAAGTTTTAATACGAATTAGCAAAAATGATGTGGGCCATATTTAACAAAAGAAAGTTGATGATGGCAGTTCAAAGACGAAACATCAGTCAAAAAATCTGATAACACCATTCTGAGAAGTTTCAGAAGTAAAAATGACACTTTTTGTGGCGAGGCTGTTCCTTTGACGGACAAGCGTTAGCGAGCCCGACATATATACAGGCGAGCCACAAAAAGTCATTTTTATTCCGAATAGAACATGCTATTTTTTTTTCAAACGCCACAAATAATTTTTTAAACAATTTCAATAATCAACTTCCAAATACTATAAAAAAAATTAAAAGTAATACCAAGGGTAATACCTTGTATGTAATTATATATCGAGAAATTATGGTTACGGGCTCACTGAATTTGACACTTTATGTCAGTTTAATACACAAAACATCCCCCTTTAGAACTTTTTCTTTAATGGCCATAAGCGGGAGTAAAAGACCAACCACCCGAACAAACACTAGAGGCGCCATCGGTCATCAAATGGTGAAAAAATTGCGAAAATTTAATCATCTAATTTTGACACAAGGGGTCGCGCTTAATTTTTTTAATTTTAATTTTTATTTTAATTCAATATTCATTGTTTTCAAACTATATTATTATACTTTGTTGTATTTTGTGAATGTATAAATGTTTTCTTAGTATAAAGTTGCATTATATTAATTTAAATTATACTTACATATTTAAAATTTAAATATTATGACATATATATGTCAGTTGCCGTCTAAAATGTCATCTTGATAACAAAAAGTTAGTTAATGTCAGAAATAGCTAAAATCATGTTAAAATATTAAAATTTACAAGATAATTATAATTAGATATTTTATATTATTTCAAAAACAAAAACATAATGGTACAGCGTTATGTTGATATGTAGGTCCAAAACAAAAAGTGCCGTTATATTTTTCAGTTTTCGTTGTCAGCCGCGGAAGTTTCAGTGATTTTAGTGTTTTCGGATATTTTTATTTGTGAAATAGAAATAATAAAAAAATAAATAATTGCGTTTAGATTGCAAAACGAAAAGTGGAAGTTTTATTGCAATGTAAGTAAGCCTTTGTCCATTTTATATTTTACTTTTTTCATACCTACGACAAATATACATATATTGAAATTTTATAATTCGTTTTATTTAAAAAATGTTAGAAAACAAGCTTGTAATCCTGTAATTGACATAATTGTTATGTAATATATTCCATTTAAATGTAATATATTACTTTACAATTAAAAAAATGTAAATTTAAAAAATATATACAGGCAATAATTGAAATTTTTAGCGTGCGAACAAACACGAGAGGCGCTTTATTATTTACTTTCATTTCTTAACATGACAGAAGAAGTTCTAAAGGGGGATGTTTTGTGGTTTAATAATATACTTTCGTACTTTTATGCTAAGCGTAAAGTGCTTCACTTTTATGCCCTAGGCTTTAAAATGACTTTTATATTGTCAATCACGTCGCAAAAATTAATACTTTTGTGACGTTTGAAAAAAAAAATTTATATCTATTCAAATAGAGTAATAAAAAATAAAAATGAAATTGCAAATATTTTTTTTTTCGAAAATCTTCGGAAGTATTCGGAATTATGAAGAATTTTAGGTGGCATTTTCATCAGTCTCGAAATGCCCAACTTTGGAGCTCTGTTTAATGCTCCATTGTTCAACATATTCTCTTCTAGTTTCCGAGATCCCAATATTGTCGCTCGAATTTGGAACACCCTATACATCCAAAGTATTAAGAATGATTTTTCGTGTATTATTGTTAGTTTCTGTAAATTTTTATATCCAATTATAGAATCAAGATATTTGCACGTCATTTAATTCTCCGTTAGACGTCATAGATCTACCTAAGATACCTAATGATTTCTATTAAAAGTTTATCATTATTCTTAAATAAATGGATATTTGCAAGTTATTTTTATATATTGTTATCCATATTTATAACAGGAAATATAAAAATGTGGTTAATATCAGTCTACTTTATTAACACTACGATAAAAAATAATTAACATTAATTAAATGTTTTAAACGATTTAAGAAAGATATAATTAATATTGTAGATACCAATCTTATTGATATTACGATGATAAATAAATATTTACAGAAATAAAATGCATCGTTATTTTATTTTAAATAGCATGCATATGTAAATATTATTCTTTTACTTTTGTGTACTATTCTCGAAATACAGTTAATTTAAATGTACCTAAGTACTATAGCTTACAATAATTTTAAGTAAAAAAATCTTTATCTCAGCGTTACTAATATGTGTCATATAACCAATGAAAAAAAATATTACCTGAAAACTTTACATTAGTTAATAGCCGAGGATAATTAATCATTCCATCATGTTTAAGGATTTCCCATTATTTTAGGTTTGCTTGCAACTAAAAATATAAGGTCATCTACATTGCTTCAATGTGTAATTATTAAAGAGTGACATTTTACTAAATCTGCGGTTTCATTTATAAAAAAATTAAAAGAATATCACAATTATCGATGTATCTATGTACTTATTTATATGTGCGTATGAAAAACCCGATATAGAAAAAACCAACAAAATGGGAAACTCAAAAATTATAAACGTTAGATGATTAGATCTGTAGCATATAATTAGTTTAACTACTGTTTATATGTCAGTCTGTATAGTAAATTCCTTTGGGCTACTATAGTTAATAGTTATCCAAAAAATATAGGGTGTAGTGTTACCAGTTCTGTGCATTATCATCTTTTTAATAGGTAGGTTTATACAACAAAACACATATAAAAAGAAAAAACCACAACATTGTACTTAGATTTTTGTGGACTTATAGGCTTGGCGCATTTCAGTTGATTTCAATAAATTCCGACCGCAGCGCTTCAACGGCAGAAATCAGAAATTATCAGTACTATGTATTTCACGCCGCCGCGCCATCGCCATCATGTTGATCGCATTAAAATAATATTGAAATAATTGAGAATTGTTTTGTCATAATATTTAGAAGTGAAAAAGAATTCGAACTAGGCGTCGTGTTGTGGTTGTGACAATTTCAAACTTTAATAAAATTATCGAAAAAATGTAACACGTAAAGGAGAGCGTAATTAGGGCGTTGTTGGGTGCAATAACATTCAATAACTCAACCTTTCCCGGATATTCAACTCTCCCAAAACAACATTTTATAGCTTCATTGTTAGTAACAGTTGCACAAATGATGCTATGTTCGACCTTTTTAATAATGTAAACTCTAGCCTGAATAACCATCACTCTAGAGATACAATTTTCTGTGATTTCTCTAAGGCTTTCGACTGTGTAAGTCATAATATCTTAATTAACAAATTGCAATACTATGGATTCAGGGGAGTGCCGCTCGAATGGCTAAAGTCATATCTTGGCAACAGAAGGCAGCTTGTGAGGATTGATACATCTATGTCTTCTTGTAAGCCTATAGAATGTGGTGTCCCTCAGGGTTCAGTACTTGGCCCTATTTTGTTTCTGGTAAAGAAGTTCTTAAGTGTTTATCAACGATCACTTGGAGCGGCCCAGATGTTGTAGCACGATATGATACTATATCCAGTTACTTACGCACCATTAAATCTTGGTGCGATTCTAATCTCCTATACCTCAGCCTATCAAAAACTAAAATTTTGTCATATAAAAGTACTATACGACAATAACACCACTATTGACGTCGTGGACTCTTAGAAATTCTTAGGACTTGTTGTAGACTCGTTAACAACTCGTTAAAATGGGACTTTCACATCGAAACTCTATCAAAGAAACTAAGCGCTGCCTGTTTTGCGCTAAGATCAGTTTTTAAGGAGCTTAACTTATCAAACTCTAGAATAGCCTATTATGCCCTTTTTGAGTCACATCTTCGTTATGCCCTTCCATTCTGAGGTACTTGCTGCGCAACAAAATTTGATCGTATTTTCAGACTTCAAAAGAGAGCAGTTCGATATTTATTGGGACTGAACAGTAGAACTCACTGCCAGAATTTCTTTAAAAATTTCAAAATAGTGACTCTTTTTTATTCATTTTTGAATCCGTTTGCTTAATCCGCAAGCACATATCTGCTATTCCCGAAAGGCCATCCCATAACTATCCACTTAGGAATGCGGAGCACGATCTTTATCTGCCAACCCCGAGCTCAGAACTAGTTAAAGGCTCAATTGTGTCAATACTGTACAATGCCAAAAAAATGTACAATCATCTGCCTTTGAATATCAAGTCGCTTTCATTCTTTCCCGCATTTCGCAAAGCTCTGATATCATACTTACTGGAGAGAGCCCTATATGCGGTAAACGGCTTTTTTTGTTGATGTTTAATCATGAACAATTTTGAGGTTTAAAATTTTGATCATCTCACACACTGGTCAAAGGTCAAGTATTTAAAAAATTCAAAATTTTATAACTCTTAAAATTATATCTATTTACTGCTTACTATTCTGCAATAGTCCACGTATGTACTTTTTGTAATTATAATGACTTAATTTTTTTTGAATTGTATGATTTGTATTGTGCATTTTTTGTTGTTTGTATATATTTTTTTGTGCTTTTGTTTGTTTTGTGATTGCTTTGTCGATGAAGCTGTTTTGACTTTTTGCACAATAAAGCGTTGTTTGTTGTTGTTGTTGTTGTTGTTTCTCACACCGATTTAATCAAAAGCAAAAATGAATTCAAGCAGTTTGACAAAACAAGTGAATAGACAAAGTCCTCACCACATTATCAAAAAATTAAATAGACATAAAATATACTATGAAAGAATAAAATATAATTTGCAATATTAATAGTATACGTTTTTAATCAACTAGTGATTAAATGTTTTATAAACATCTTCTGAAATTATAATTATTAACCTATAAAAAATTTCGTTAAAGCCGAAATAGCCCCAATTATGCCTTCTAGCAAAACCGGTGATTAAAACTCCTATGCTCGCTACCGTAGTTGTACTGAACTAAAAAGTATTTTTTAACTGGAATAATAAATTATAATACAAGTTAGACCTTCTGAAGATATCAAAATATTTACTCTTTTATTTTTATTTTTAGGATTTTCACAAATTATACTTCCAAACACTTTTAGAATAATTAAATAAAACATTCTTCTTTTACTCGCTATTTAAACCCGTGTATTTGTATATAGTAGTTGTTTGCACCAAAAAAAATGCACCAACCCTATACCCAACACACCATTTGTTGTATTAGATAAGGTTATTATTCTTCCCCAACTCAGTTTACAATAGTGATAGTAACAGTAAAGTGTGTCAATAAAATATAATTAGTAGTGCTACAATTTGCAATAATGATTTTCATTTAAATTTCAACGAGTACAATCTGAATATTCTCTGACACAAATTGTGAGAATTATTAGCACACTTGTTCGGTATTTTCGTATAAAATCAAGCATATTTAACTATTTTAGAGATCTACAAATTTTTATTTTTGTGATCTGAAAGGAAACCAAAAATGCAATAATATACAGGGTGTTCCATTTAAAAAAAATCATTCCGATCTACTCGTACTTTTTTGAGCCATCCTATAGAAGTTAAAGTATTTTTCCTGAAATATATCTTCGTACATACTACAAACAAAATTCTCAAGTTTCTTATTTTTGAAGCTAAAGAAGCCCGACGCACTTTTGCCGGACCCTGTATATTCCTTCGATTCAGTCTAAATCTCAACGTGTAGTCTTTGGTGTAGTGGCGGCTTCCATAAAAAAATATCTCATCGAATTCCAATATTCCATATAAACAGGGTTGTTCACCACATACGACACGGAGTATTGTAGCTAAACGATTAGATTTTTACAAATTTTAAGTTTTGGGTTCGTTGAAGGACTATTAGAGCTACAATTTAGAAATAATTTTACGAGATACAGAGTGTCCCAAATAAGTAAAAAATGCTATAGTTGTATTTTTTTAAACGGAACACCCTGTATATTATTCTATTTTTAGATTCTACGATTGAAATAAAGGTAAATTTTATTAAGGTTTATCACACTTAAACCTTACCGTTTTTTAAATATTTTCAATTTTGTGAAATTGCAGTAAAATTTACCCCAAAAGGCTTCATTTCTCCAAGGGTATCAAAGTTTTAATACTAAATATTTACTGAAGTTTATTTATTGATCAGTTATTGTGTTGCAATAATAAAAATTATACTACCTTATACAGAGTGTATAAAATTTTATTTTAAATAATTACTAGCTTTAAACGGCAATAACTTGTTTAATTTAAATGGAATGCCCTGTATATTTTAGGAGAATCAGATGCATAATTTAATTGTCTATCAAATTGTATTATACCACTTTTTACCTATCCCTTCAAGTTTTCGTAAAAAAATGCATTTTCTTATAATTTAGACCTCATTTATCAATATACCCATGAAATATTGACATTTTAGATTGTTTTTAAACAACAAATGTACGAAATGTACAGGCTAGTAATATTATCGTTTTTAACAAAATGATAATATTACTAGCCCATTTGTATGTAAAAAGAAAACTATTCAAAATCTTCATAAAAGAGTATACCATTAAGTAAATATACCACCATTATTTCCGCCCAAATACTAATTAATTACATACTTAATTATGTTCGTGAATAAATTATTCTAAATAAATGTGGATTTGAATCAGAAATCAATATAATAATAAGTTATAAAAAAGAAAGAATGTCTGTGTTGTTACAAATAAGCATTTGTCAAAAAATAAAATATCATTTTTAAGGTGTTACTTTTTACCACACTGTCTAATACACATAAAAAATTCAGTTTTTTAGTTTTTGGAGCAATTATTATTAATCAACGCAAACAGTCAATTAATGTAGTTTGAATACTGGAATCATATTAATTGGTCCTCTTTAACAAATATTTAAACAGTTTTTTTTTATTTTTTAATGAAATAAACAAACTATATCGACAATATTAGTATCTGTACTATTTAAAAATTTGGTATATCTTTAAAAATAATCTAAAATGTCAGTATTCCATGGGTATATTGATAAATGAATTAAAATTACAAGAAAATGCATTTTCTACGGAAACCTATAGCTATAGGTAAAAAATAGTATAATACAATTTGATAGACAATTAAATTTTGCATCTGATTATCATAAAATATACAGGGTATTCCATTGAAATTAAACAAGTTATTGCCGTTTAAAGGTAGTAATTATTTAAAATAAAATTTTACACACTCTGTATAAGGTAGTATAATTTTTATTATTGCAACACAATAACTGATCAATAAATAAACTTCAGTAAATATTTAGTATTAAAAACGTTGATACCCTTGGAGAAATGAAGCCTTAAAATTTTGACTGCAATTTCACAAAATTGAAAATATTTCAAAAACGGTATGGTTTAAGTGTAATAAACCTTTTCAGAAATTACCTTTATTTGAATCGTAGAAACTAAAAATGTAATAATATACAGGGTGTTCCATTTAAAAAATACAACTTTGATATTTTTATTTTTGGGACACTCTGTATCTTGTAAAAATATTTTAAAATTGTAGCTCTAATAGTCCTTCAACGAACCCAAAACTTACAATATGTAAAAATCTAATCGTTTAGCTACAATACTCCGTGTCGTATGTGGTGAACAACCCTGAATATCTCATCGAAGAGATAAGATATACAGGGTTGTTCACCACATACGACACGGAGTATTGTAGCTAAACGATTAGATTTATACAAATTATAAGTTTTGGGTTCGTTGAAGGACTATTAGAGCTACAATTTAAAAATCTTTTTACTATATACAGAGTGTCCCAAATAAATACAAAATATCAAAGTTGTTTTTTTTTTAAACGGAACACCTGTATATTATTACATTTTTAGTTTCTACGATTAAAATAAAGGTAAATTTGATTAAGGTTTACCACACTTTAATCTTACCGTTATTGAAATATTTTCAATTTTGTGAAATTGCAGTCAAAATTTTAAGGCTTCATTTCTCCAAGGGTATCAAAATTTTTAATAGTAAATATTTACTGAAGTTTATTTATAGATCAGTTATTGTGTTGCAATAATAAAAATTATACTACCTTATACAGAATGTCTAAAATTGTATTTAAACGGCAATAACTTAATTTAAATGGAACACTCTGTATATTTGATGAGATTAGATACACAATTTAATTGTCTATCAAATTGTACTATACCATTTTTTACCTATCTCTTCAAGTTTCCGTAGAAAATGCATTTTCTTGTAATTTAAAACTCATTTATCAATATATCCATGGAATACTGACATTTTAGATTATTTTTAAAGATGTACCAAATTTTTTAAAGAGTACAGATACTAATATTGACGATATAGTTGTTTATTTCATTAAGAAATAAAAAAAAACGGTTTAAATATTTGTTAATGAGAACCAATTAATATGATTCCAGTATTCAAACTACATTAATTGACTGTTTGCGTTGATTAATAATAATTGCTGCAAATACTAAAAAACTGAATTTTGTATGTATTTAGACAGTGTGGTAAAAAGTAACACCTTAAAAATGATATTTCATTTTTGACAAATGCTTATTTATAACAACAGACATTCATTTTCATAACTTATTATTATATTGATTTCTGAGTCAAATCAACATTTATTTAGAATAATTTATTAACGGACATAATTAAGTATGTAATTTATTAGTATTTGGGCCGAAATAATGGTGGTATATTTAACTAATGGTATACTCTTTTAAAAATATTTAAATAGTTTTCTTTTAGCATACAAATGGGCTAGAAATATCCTTCAAGGGTAATATTATCATTTTGCTAAAAACGATAATATTACTAGCATTTACATTTTGTACATTTGTTGCTTTAAAAACAATCTAAAATGTCCCTATTCCATAGGTATATTGATAAATCACGTCTAAATTATAAGGAAATACCTTTTTACGAAAACTTGAAGGGATAAGTAAGAAGTAGTATAATACAATTTGATAGACAATTAAATTGTGCATCTGATTCTCCTAAATATACTGGGCGTTCCAGTTAAATTAAAGAAGTTATTGTCATTTAAAGTTAGAAATAATTTAAAATAATTTTTTAGACACGCTGTATGAGGTAGTATTATTTTTATTATTGCAACACAATAACTGAAGAATAAATAGACTTCAGTAAATATTTAGTATTAAAAAATTTTATTTTTTTTATTTGGGACACTCTGTATCTTGTAGAAATATTTTTAAATTGTAGCTCTAATAGTCCTTCAACGAACCCAAAACTTACAATTTGTAAAAATCTAATCGTTTAGCTACAATACTCCGTGTCGTATGTGGTGAACAACCCTGTATATATATCAAAGAATTCGCTTATTTTTTTATTTTTTTAGGTAGAAATAATTTTGAAAGAGATTTATTAATTAATTTATTATCTATTTTACTTTACCAAGGAAATATCTCTTGAAAATTAGACAAAAGAACTTTAAAGAAGATATGGAAAAGTTTTCAATAATGATTTTCTACATAGTGATAATATTCACAAGTTTCTATAAACATGTGATATGCAACTCAAACTATAACAGTCCCTGTCCAGAAGCTTTTCAATACAGAACTGACTCAGAAGGAAGGTTGTATGGCGAAATAAGCATAGAACCTGCACACCATGATGGAAGTAGCATACAGATATCTGTAGAAATGTCAGTAGCAAACAGTGTTCAGGTTAGTGATCTAACTAACCAATTTAATTGGATAAAAAATCAGAAAATTGTTATTAGATATATTTTAGAGTTACTTAGGTAAATTAGTACTAACAAAATCTTTAAAAAGTGCTGTTAGTGATATGGAGCACAACAGACCTGTCCAGTACTGGCTATATTTTCCAGCCTGGCATGTTATTCCTCCAAAAATAACGAAAATAGAAGTTAACTGTAATCAAATTTGTAGCGGACCGAGTATCTCAAGTAAGCTAAAGCTTAAATATATCCAACTGCCTTTAATTGTGAAAATACGGTAACTCAAAAACAGAGACTTAATTACAATCAAAATATCTCAATCATCTTAAATCAATTTGTTTATTAAAAATATTTATTAACTTTAAATGTGTTAAAATTTGTATTTTCTTTTCTGTTATTATAAGTAATAAATACAGTAATGTTCGGTTATAACGAACCTCGTGGGACCGGCGAAAACGGTTCGTTATAAGCAAAGTTCGCAATAAACGAAAAATGCTGATAAATATAAAAGATGTGGTATTTTTATTAATACATAGATAATGGTACATAAAATATATTTTGTAATATTATAGATACATTAACAACTGTTCTTTAGAGTCTAATTTAAAAAAAAATCTTTTATTTTAGTTTGTTTTATTTTTGTGAAATGAATATCATTAATATGCAGTTCTTCTTCGGCTAATTGATTAAGAACACTTTGCGGAGTATTTCGTGACTGAAGGAAATGACGAACGTTATCAATATGTTGAAGTGCCTCTGACCTCTGATGTGGTCGGAACTGGTCTCAATCCTGTATTCACAGGTTCTTCATCTTCCGTCTCCTCATCGTCATCAATATAAACTGAAGAAGACACAGGAGCGACAATGGCATCATCATCCAAGTATTCGACACTTACAAGATTATCACCAATATGGACAAATTCATTAAACTCATTTTCAGAACAAGGAACATTGTCTAGAATATTGTTATCATCTTCTTATCCAACTTTTTTCAGCCATTCGGCTACTGTCAAGTCATTGTCTGAATTCAAATCATTTTCCACTTTTAGGAAACCACCGTGTTGAAAACTATAAAAAATTGTTTGTTTTAATATCCTCTGCCATGCCATATGAATGAAGTTTATTCCATCATCATATATCCTTAATGATTAATGAAAATTTTTCACTCCTACTATCAATAAAATGTACCATTTTCGAAAGAAAAAGTCGACGATAATACGATGGCTCTTTAAGCTGTGGATGACACCCTGATCCATAGGTTGTAGTTTGGAACTGGTATTTGGTGGCATGAACACGAACTTGGTGCAGTCCAAATTTCTAACAACTGGATGAGCTGGGCAGTTGTCCACTAACAATATGATTCTTCGGTTTTTACGTCGTAACTCGCCACCCCATTCCCGCAATTCATGCGCATAGATCTCTATGATTATCCATGCTTTTTTATTGAATTCGTAATTTACTGGCAACCGTACGACATTTTTAAAACATCTAGGGTTTTTGGATTTCCCAATCACCAATAACTTTCTTTTTTCTCGGGGAATCCCCAGCGCCAGCGGTAAAATACCGTTTTAGGTTCGTTATAAAAAAAATCTTACGATTGTATCAAAATTTAAGGTTCGTTTTATCCGAAATTTCGTTATAAAAGGGTTCGTTATTTGCGAAAAAAATAACACACGTTTAGTAAAGTAAACGCCACGAATGTTTGGGAGTGATTCATCGGTCGCTACCATGTGAACTAATGTCCAAGGTTACATAAAACTTAATTCCAGTGCTGTGGTATTTCAAGTCATATAATAATCAATATATAATCTGTTGTAATTTGTTGTTTTAACTGTCAAAGTCTTGTCAAAACCTTTGTCAAAACATATATTTGGTTATAAATATAAAATGGAATGCCCCATTGGTCGCACTGCAAGCACACCAATGGACTGACGCACAAAAACGAATCAATCAAAGAAACGCGATATAGTATCGTCTTTGTCAATCACGCTAACATTTTAGAATAAGTTGGAGGAGCGCAGGCAGATGATTAGACCGGGCCTTTAAAAACCTACGTCTGCGGTAAAAATTTACGCTTTTAATGTAAAAATGATAGAGCGCGTGTCGATTCTAACTTCATCAAGCGATGAATCACTCCCAAACATTCGTGGCGTTTACTATAATACCAAAGTTCGTACCTATAGATTTGGTTCGTTATAAACGAATGTTCGCAATAAGCGGGTTCGTTATAGGCGGACATTACTGTAATATAGAAAAAAATGTACTTATGTCTTAAAATATAATAAATTATAATTTCCATACAATTTAATACGTAATTTTTTTATTATAGTGGCCGCTGCAAACATTATCGTTACAAGTATAATACTCAAACACAAATTTAGTTCTGGATCAACTTTACCAGCAACATGTTCAAGTCAGCAAAAAAACAGTAAGATTTTTATTGACGTCAATTATTTTTTTTCTAATAATAGAAAAAATTAGTGTACAACATTCTAGTTTACACTTACACAGGGCGAGTCTTAAATAAGTGCAAATATTTTTAGGGGTAGTATATTTTGACCCCAGAAAAAAACGATTAAGAAAATCCAGAAAAGATCCAGTGATTCTCAAAATTTAAGCAAACAATATTTTTTTTGGAAATATTCAAAGTAAAATAACTCCGTTATTTTGATTTATTTGATAAACGGTAAAGAAAAATATGTTTCTTTTATCGAGATCTACCAGCCCCTTTGAATAAGAAGACTAAGGGAGGAGCGTAATGCTATCCATATATTCATGCATGGTGGGCGGAAAAAGGACTCTAGGGTGGGGATCCTTGACAGTTCTGTTTGACGATTCATTTGACATATTTGAATTTGATTTGAAATTTTGTGGATTTGTCAGTCTTTACAGACCTTATTTTATGTTATTTATTATTTATTCTACTACTGATAGTTGTATAAAGGTAGTAAATCTAGATGGAAATTGTGGCAGAACTTAAATTAACAGTGACACTATCGCGATTTATCGAAAAAAGTGCGGTAGATCTAGGCAAAAATTGAGTGAAATAATAGAACAACTTTTCGCTAGTAAGTGACTATATAATATACATACGTGTAGTAAACCGATCATTTATGAAATTCACTTAAATTAACTAAATTATATATGCATCTTGCATTTTAGCTTTTATTTACTACTTGTCAAAGATCAGATGTCAAAGAATTTTGATACGTTAATTTGACTTACCTGCTTCAGTAGCGTATCGGATGTTTGTGTTAATAAATACTCATTATAACTTATCTATTTTTATTAGAATTATATATTTTTATAACAATTTTAATAACTACCGACATTTATTCACAACGTAAAATAAAACAACAAATTATTGAGTCTACCCCACGTCTATCCTACATCATAGTTTTACATTTTTTAAATAAAATTAGAACGGCACTGATAAACCGGAATTTAAGTCGGCCATATTTGATGGCGGTGTACCTAAGATTTTTGATATGCTCCTTCCTTAAGGCCTGGTTTTTCTGACCAGATCGGCCCGAAATATTTCGGTGAATATTTCCGTACAGAACGCTCTAATTTACCGAACTCAGTTCGTTCCGAAGTTTCGTCTGCGTGTGGTTTGTCGGAGATTAAATTCGTTATGATTAGGTATTTCAGTTCGGTCTATTCAATCATTAAAATTTTACGTTGTACGTATCTAGGTTCTTTTTACGCTTCTAAATGGATTTTTTATCGCTATGATTTTAGAAGAAGAACAGGATGATGATGATGAGTACTATGCGTTATTAGAAGTATGTTCTGAACATAATAGAGTTCTGAAAATGTTTGAGAATAGGGACAAAGAAGGTGCTTACAAACTGTTAGTGTTAAAGCATCTTTCGGATAATGATACAAAGTTCAAAGAATTTTTCCGTTTAACTCCACAACTATTCCATACTGTACTAAATTACATAAAGAATGAAATAAATTACATAAAGAAAAAATAAACAGCCCAACTTTTTTAGAAACACCGTGAATAATTTTATTATTCAAATGAGTGACTAGAAAAAAAAATCGACGGGTCTAAATATGTTTTCGAGAAATAAACACTAGAATTTTAATTAATTTATTGATTCACTTTACACACATACTGTAAATAGTAATTTTATAAAATTAAATCCGCCGAAATTCACAATTTTTTTCAAGTTCGGCGAACTACGCCGATTTGAGATCGTTCAAATCAAAACTAGTTTGATACAGACGAACTGCTGTCCGCATACGTTCCCGAAATTTCGTTCCGATCTAGACAAATCATTACTGCGTCCTACACATATACTGGGTTTAGCCGGAAACGCTAACGAACTTTTCGCGCTATATCACCGAAATATTTCGGGCCGATCTGGTCAGAAAAACCAGGCCTTTAGTCTTACCAGCCCTGAAAAAATTTGCACTTAATTTAAGACTCACCGTATATAATTTAATATATAATATATAATTTATGGTAATTGTGTTGTTTATAAGACGTACTTGTTTAATATATTTTCTTTCTTATTTTCTTTCTTAGAAAATGATTATAATAATCACAAATATACAACCAATATAAGAAACGGTGGTTTAGTAACTGTCATCTCTTCAGATCACTCAACGAAAGATTACCCACATAATATATTTTTTAACAGCAAAGAAATGGAAGAACCACTGCCAAATTCTCGACCTATGAGAAACCCTTTTCCAGATAACCCATTTTTTGATGGAACGTTAGAACTAAAAAAATGTAAGCACAACAAAATTATACTATTAGAAATTATGAAAAATATACCATATTTCTTTTAAGGCTACTTTAAAAACTGTATTGTTCTATTTTATAAGTAAAGCTGATCATATCTTACTAGTCAAACTAAAAAGATTTAAATATATTCTTAGATAATTTTACCATTCCTTATCAAACCAAAACACCGATCACTACCAAAGCACCGGATCAGCCATATGCACAAAATCCATTTCTTTCTGGACTACTATCTACACGTCAGCCTTCTACGCAACCAAAGCAAAGTATGTATTTGTAATTATTCTATTTATAATATACAGGGCAGTCCGAATTGTAATCAGGACACTTCGGCAACATATTCTGCAGATAAAACTCAGGCGCGTGGCAAACGCCCCCGCGGACTCCGCGTGGCTGGAGGGCCCGGGGTAAATTGGGGGTCCCCGCACCTAGTCCTTCAAAAACAATTATCAAACAAACCGAAAACTAAAATTACATTTAGGCACACAATCCTTTTTTCAGCAATAATTAGGGTGATATAAAACAATTATTTTACACTACATTACATACTATCGATAAAAACTAATTTTTTGTCCGTCGTCAAGTGTCTATCGAATTTAACGTTAATACTGCAAAAACGTACTGATAGAGATGAGGCCAGGATGTTAGGTTAGGTTAGATTTGGAAAAAGAATAAAAAGATAAAATAGAAAATTTCGAATTTATTTTCTTACTAAATTTCCAAGGTATAATATTGGAAAATACTGCCTTACTTTCAAAATGATTACAAAAAAATAATATTGACTGGCCACAGATCTAATCAGGAGTTCTTGTTAAAATAGAAAATCTTAGGGACAATTTTGAAAGTGTGTATGAGCTATCAACACAGAACACACTAAAGAGCTATCAATTTCAATAGCGAAATCTTGGAATATTGAACCTCGAGTCCGTAGAGTCAAACCTTTTTCTGATAAAATAGCCGCTAATGAGCCCATTGAAAATCCTAAAAGTCGTTTAAAAGTCACAATTTTTTATGCTTGTTTGGATATAATAATAACTCAGTTTAGAATCAGGTATGACGCATTTCAAAATATTTATTCAAAATTTGAAATTTTAAACCCACAAACATTGTTAAAATTCCAGGGATATGATATCTTAGCTAATGCCAAAGTATTAGTAGACAAATATCCTAACGACCTAACAAAATCTAGCATCGGAGCTAATTCAAGCAAAAAATTTACTTTATGAAAAAATCAAAAATTTTCACAGTATCAGAGAGTTTTCTGATTTTATTTTTGAAAAAATCCAATTACTGGATTAGCAGTATACCTGAGATTTGCACTGTATTCCAGTTGTTTCTGGTTCACCCTGTAACATCCGCTGAACCAGAAAGAACTTTTTCTAAGCTGAAAATAATAAAAAGTTTTGCGAGGTCTACTGTGTTCCAAACTCGCCTAAGCTCACTGGCCATAATATCAGTTGAGAATGATCGAGCCAAAGAGGTAGATTTGGACAGCCTCGTAAACAAGTTCCTTTTGTTAAGGTCGAGGAAAAAGGAATATACTTTCTAATGTACCATAGGGTACTTCATAAATATTTAAAATTTCTTGTTCACATTTGTGTTCTAGTTATTAGTAGTTAAATGTAGTTATTAGTAGTAAATATGTTTTTTTTCTAATAAAACTTTGATTAATTAGGAGCATAAATGTTTGTTTTCTAGTTTAAGTATTTTAAGAGTGCTATAATAATAAATAAATAAATCTTGAAACAATTATCAAAATATAAAAAAATATCACATTTTGGCTCTTGTTAAAAAATATGTTTCATGCAGATATCACAATAATGATGTATTTGAAGGAATTTTTGAGTATACTTAGGGGGGCCCCCTAACAAAGTTTGCAGGGGGGGCCCGCAGAAACCCTACTGATAAAACTAAGTAAAAAACTTCGTATAAAGTTATGTCCTAAAATGCTTCGTTTTGGAGAGTGTAGAATTTTCATTTTTATTTCGTTTTTTTAAAATAATATTTGATCTAACGTCAATATTTGGATGAAAATTGGTTGTTTTTTGACATGAGATTTGATTTCGATGCCACTATGGCTCCTATTTGTTGGGGGCGCTACCTACATAAAAAAATGTCTACCTATGTGGCGGATTCATCTCTCAAAAAAAATCCTTTGTGGGTATTTCGCCACTGCACTGCTAGAAAATCTACTAAATAAAATAGTTATTTTTGGTAGACACTTCTGCGTTAAATCTAAACGGACACTAATATAGTTATATAGTTATTGCTCTTCAAAACATTTAGAAAACATGTAGGTGGTGCTCCTTACAAGCAAAAGTTATATTGACATCAAAGTCAAATTTCTCATGTCAAAAAACACCAAGATAACAATTTTCATCCAAATATGGATGTTAGTTCAGAAATTATTTGGAAAAAATCGAAATAAAAATGAAACTTCTACACCCTGTATTCCCGAAACGAAGCATTTTAGGAAAGAAATTTATAGGAACTTTCTTATATGTATACTTATTACTATCATCTGCAGAATATGCTGCCGAAATTTCCCGATTACAATTCAGACCACCCTGTATACTTAAAATGTAATGCTATTTTTTTTGGAAACAGAGCCAATACATAATCAACCATCACCTAAAATACCTCTTCAGATAAATACCTCAATAACTGGATCTATAGTACCTCAAAACATGTAAGAAACCATATTTTGCATACATTCCTTGATAGTATCCTTGATTATGATAGTATTGAAGATACAAGTTTTGTATTATTAAATTATTTAAAAAAATTCTATACAATTTTATTTTTGTTTAAATTTTAGTAAAAATAATGATATGAGTAAAATCTGTGGACGACCAGTAGTTCCTACGCATCTAATTGTCAAAGGCCAGTCAGTACCAAGAGGAGCTTACCCTTGGTTGGTAGCTATGTTCCTTATTATCATTCAACAAGGCCAGAAAAATGTCAGATTAGAGTACAAGTATATTTGCGGTGGATCACTTATATCTAATAAACATGTTGTTACTGGTAAGCATTTATTTTATAATATTCTAGCAGACCCGGCCACGCGTTGCTGTGTGGCCATAGAATAATGTAGTTATTTTACTTTGAAAATTTGGAAAAAATTTTTTTTTGCTTATATTTTGAGGACCATTGGATTTTGTATGGGTTTTCTTTCTTGTATATATAATCTACTACCTATGTTGCCATATCATGAAGACATTATGTGTTTTATCTATTTTTATAGATAAAAATATTAAAATATAAATGTAAATAAAATAAACAAAAGATGTTATCACGGGAACTGTAATAAAAAGAAGAAAGAATATATCGGGCAAGCCTACAGTAAGATTAGTCATGAGACATGACTAAAACATGACTATACTCTGTTTTTTTTCTCAGGTAAGATTTGGACAGACGATGACAGAAGAAAAGCAGATGACGTCCCATACCAATCTATTTATTTTACTAAAAAAAGTTTCTAATAATTTTAAGTTACCTATCTATGGATGGGTTTAAATATAAATCCGTCATACGTCGTGTCTTGTTGTTTTTAACCAGTTTTATTGGTTTATTTAAAAAATGACAGATCGTATTTCAATTTTATTGGTTTGACGGAACGATGAACGATAAACGGACGCCGATGCGTATGAACTCGCTTTTAGATTTTTGTCATTTTTGACAGTACCTTTTACATCGAAATTTTATCTTATAAACTTTTTCTATTAATACATTAACTTTACTGATGCTGGTCACCTGATTAGTGAAACATAACTCAAAATTTTAATTTTTTTGAATTATTGTGTGAAGTTTGAAAATGATTAAATAATATTTAAACTGTTAAAAAAGTGTTATAATAGAAATGAATACATACGTGTTTAGCTGCTACTGTGTTGAAACAGACTCGACTTTCTTAAACCAAGCAGGTGTAATTTTACATTTGGAAAACAGAATATAGAGAGAAAATGAAAGCACCCTTACCTGACGAAAAATTACGTGGAGCCAGGTCAATTTTAGTTCATCCTGGTGAGGAGTGTCACTTTATATATAACACAAATAAAACACAAACAGTTATACTCACAGTTCAATGGAATAGTATATATTTCCTTTTGTAATATCACTCTGTACTCTGAGAATAACCCGTTTTGCAAAATTTTTATACACCCCACAGTGAAAATTGTATACCATCTCGAATGTACATACAACTGCTCTTTAAAATGGTAGAAACCTATAATAAAAATATACACAAACTTAACCAGAGTATTTTTAATGTACTTTGACATTAGTTTGAAACAGATTGTTATTTCAGTTGTCAATTTGGCGATTTGGTTTAAAAAAAAGCATTCTTTGTGATTTAGCTTGAAGAATAAGCCAAGTTTTGATATAGTGTTAGAAATGTTTGAAGGATTTTTTATTTTACCTAATGTTTTTTATGACAATAAACTTGTAGAGTATTACAAATTTGTTTCCCAAACAACTTGTATTTTCGAATAAAGAATTTTACATTCGATTTTCTAAAATAGATTTTGATGAAATCGACATTTTAATAAAAAAAAATGTGTTTTCTTTCTAGACTACCGAACTGGATCTGCAAACGCTGATATTGCACTACTTAAATTTGAGGATATTGAGTTCAATCCAATAATAAAACCACTTTGTTTGTGGGCAGGAGCAAATGAATTAAATCTAATTGTAGGCAGACAAGGAACTGTAGTAGGGTAATTATTTTTATAAATATTGTTTCTAAATATTAATTAATATAAAAAATCTCTGTGGTGGATTCATCTCTTCAAAAAAGCCCATAAGAAAACACGCCACTGTAAGAAAATCACAAAAAACAAAATAATTATTTGTTGTAAACACTGCTGCGTTAATCCAACGGAGACTAATTGTCAGCAGTGGTTTAACAATAAACAAATTTCCTAACGGACAAAAAAATGCTTAACATTTCGGGAAGTATATTGTATATTGTAGTATTATATTGTATTGTACACATATGGCCAAAATTATTGCATATAACGATATTTTTATTTTATTTTGGACCTAATATGATTCTTTTTATATTTTTGGACATATTGGCTTACTACACGACCAACTAATATAACAATAGATCTATAAGGTCGCGGTGATTAACTCCCCTCCTAAACATTCTACATTCTAAACTAATATAAATTTAAAAGTCTAAGTGCAACTAGGCTGTATTATAATTTTATTTCACGCAAAAAGTGAAAATCAACAAAAACACAAGGCACCAATTTTAGGCAGAAACTATTGAAAACAATTTTAATCATTTTATCACAACTAATAGTCTGTATTGCCGATTGCCTCAATGAGCCTTAATTCAAGCTGTGAGACGACGTGGCATGACACTCTCAATTAAGTTGTCCAGATAATGTTATGAGGTAATGGCTTCCCATGTTTCGCGCGCAGCAATTTTCAATTCATTCGCAAGGTACAGGAGATTATTCCTTTTGGCAATATGACGTTTTAGCATGTCCCAAACATGCTCGATCACATTCATATCTGGAGACATCGGTGGCCACCACAGTTTTCTTATACCCTCTTCCTCAAGATTCACGGTGCCGCTAAAAGTGCGATGGGGAGTTATCCTCATTATTATGATCGAACCGATCATAATAATTAATTATTATTACCCGAACCTTTATTTTATAAAGGACTTAATATTGTTACACGTTTTTCGTCAGTTCGATGATGTGGATAGAAAGTCACAATTTATTTAAACACTATTTATTTAACACTAATTAACAAAAACAATAAAGACTTGTAGACTTATAGAACTGTTACAAGATTTTATAACTAAATTTATTTTGATTTTAACGCGTCAACTGCACTTGTCGATTTATAACTGCCCCCTGTAGGCCACCGCCGCAAGCTTTTATACCGACAGGTAAAAGAACTCTAGAATAGTCCATAGATCGTTAGGTGCGTAGAGAAGGTTTTCCGAGATGTTCTCGTATGTACTAGTCCATTCAGTGGGACTCGATTCTTCTCGAACGAATGAATCATTGCGGTGTCTATGCGATGTTAAAGGTCATCCGAGGGCGGGCCATATTGTGAGGGTTAGGTCGAGTCCACACCAGCCACAACACTGCCCCTTCTTAGGCACATGCTCGTCCCGAGATGTATACGGTGAATGAAGGTATTTACCAAAGCTGGCCCCTGGTACATTGCGAAGTCTACTCACAATTCGCAGTCTACGTTTTCTCTCCGGATAGTGGGTTGTAGCAGCAATGTCTCATGACTAATCGATACCGTAGCCTCTGAACAATAAAATCTTTCATGTTCTGGATTTTTTTTACTTATTTATACCATCTTTTACATCGAAATTTTGTCTTATGGCTAAACTTTTAATATTAATACATTAACTTTACTGATCTCAGTTCACCTGATTAGTGAAATAGAACTCAAGAATTTTTAATTTTTGTTGAATTATTGTGAGAAGTTTGAAATGATTAAATAATATTTTTTAACAGTGTTATAATAGAAATGAATACATACGTGTTTTACCTCTGCCCACTGTGTTAAAACAGACTCCGACTTTTCATAAACCAAGTGAACGTGTGCACATTTGGAAAACAGAATATGAGAAAATAGAGAAAGCACCAATTACCTGACGAAAAAATGATGGAGCCGGAGTCAATTTTAGTTCATCTGGTGAGAGTGTCACTTTAGCGAACACTTCTCACTGCCTGTTGTATCCATGCCTTAGAATCGTCAAAGGACATCTCCGAATCAGGAGGGATCAAAGCTGCAGGTTCTCACGGTCCCAGCACGATCTTCTATTTCGCCATGGTAGGGGCTCAAACGGTTGGAAATGGACTACCCTCGGTTTTCCTTTTGGCAATTTTCTGATACGGTATACGACGTCATTAATCCTATCCATGACTGCGTATGGGCCTTCCACGAAGGATTGTAGCTTCGGAGATAAACCACGACGTCTCTGTGGGTTGTACAGCCACACCAAAATTCCCTGGTTGGTATCCCCCATGCTCAGCCCAGATGTCGTAGTGCTCCTTCATTTCGGTCACTAAGCGCTTTGAATATTTAAGCGGACTCGCTGATGGATGTCGTCCATCGCTTTGATAGCGTAGTCTGTGGACATAATCTTCTCCAGCCACATCTTCATATCGGTCGGCACACAAATAAAACACAAACAAGGTATAACTTCCAGTTCAATACGATAGTATATATTTTCTTTGTAATATCGCATGTCTCTGAGAATAACCCGTTTTGCAAAATTTGCAATGTCCTTTTGGTCAGTGGAAACTTATGCACCAAATTACATCAAACACTCTTTTAAAATTAAAACCTATAATAAAAATATAGACACAAACTTAACCAGAGTATTTTAATGTACTTTGACATTAGTTTGAAACAGATTGTTATTTCAGTTGTCAATTCCCTGATTTGTTTTTCCAAAGCATTCTTTGGGATTTAGCACATGACTAGAATAAGCCAAGTTTGATATAGGATCAACAATGTTTGAAGGATTTTTTATTTGGCTAACGTTTTTTTACTGACAATCGACTTATTTGCTTTCATTTGTTTCCCAAACAACTTATATTTTAGAACAAAGAATTTGACATGCGATTTTCTAAAATAGCTTTTGATGAAATCGGACATTTTAATAAAAAAATGTGTTTTCTTTCTAGACTACCGAACTGGATCTGCCTTCGCTGATATTGTCCCTACTTAAATTTCAATCACGGAGAAGTAATCCAATATCTAAAACCAATTGTTTGTCCACTGGGACCAAATGAATTAAATCTAATCGGCAGGCAGACAAGGAACTGTAGTACGGGGTAATTATTTTTTATAAATATTGTTTCTAAATATGGATCACTAAAAATTGCTTAATTTTGCATGTGCTTCGGTTTGCCAACCGGGGCCGGCCGGCGTCGTCCTTAAGACTTTCACTATCTTTCTCTTCTTTGCAACGATTTCTGTATCTATTAGGTAATTCCATATTTAAGATCGGTCCCCCCTTCTTTGCTCATATAAACTGATCCAGTACTTTCCGCACAATCCTTTTCCTTCTAATATTAAAGAACTCTCCTCAACAGACTGTAGGTTTCCTAGCAGATGACGACATTATTTCGCGGCCTCAAATTCCAGGGCACGTGCTGAGGCATCTCCCAAATGCGTTGGATGAGCTAAAAAGAAGTGTTTGCCTTGTGTCTCTCGTTGTGTCACGTAAACCATCAATAAAAGCCTGTACTGTTAAGCGCTCCATAACATTTTCGGGCATAGCAGGTACGCAAACAGGAGCGAGGCACCCGTCGGCTTCAAACTCCTGCAGAGACTCATTTGACTTTTGAATGCGATTTTTAGCTGGGAATGATAGACATGTTCCAAATGAGCTTGGCCGTACCTCATTTCTAAATGTCGTACCAATTGCTGATAGTCTCTCTCTGTTCCGATGGTGACAATGTCTGCAGGATATCAATCGCATCTCCCCGCAGTGCGATAGTCAAAGCGGTACCTTTTCAGCGATTGTCCAGCCGTTTGCTCTCGCAGCGGCTTCAAATCCGATAAGTAGTTGGCCCAAGCGGTTAATGGCAATCAAACTGTGGAGGTTTCATAATTGATTTTGAGGTATGCCTATTTTTCGATAGTTTCTCTCCCTACGCTGTTTATTGTTATTTTACGCGAATTTGCCTTTGCTATTTGAAATTGTTACTTAAATTTCACAATTTCATATTTACAATCTTCGTACAACGAATTAGGACAAATTTTATTGTTACTTAAACTTTCTTCCAAAATTACTATTTTATTATTCCTCGAGCCTCACAATATCTGTGAGACGACGTGGCATGCTCTCATCTTTAAGTTGTCCAGAAGATCCTGAGGAATGGCTTCCATAATTCGCGCGCAGCAATTTTCAATTCATTTAAGGTACAGGGGGATTATTCCTTTTGCCAATATGTTCAAGTTGTCGTCCTAATTTTGTAGGCACGAGTCAAGGTCTTACTTCCAACTCAAAGCAAAATGTCAGGATCTCTCACCTTCCTCCACCAAAACGTCTCTTGAGTCCTGGCTTGCAAAATGCTTTTTCTTTCCATCTGTTTTGGAAGTCCTCTCTTCCAGAACGCATTTTAATTCCGACACTTTCAAGTCTTTCAACAATTTTTTCCGGACCATTGTCTGTCTTTTTATTTTCTAGTCTATCACACACGCCACACTTGACACCAATTGTTACGTTTTCGTCGGTTCCGTATTGGATAGAAAGTCTAATTATTTAAACACTATTTATTTAACACTAATTAACAAAAACAATAACGATAAATTACTTATAGAACTATTTACAAACGGTTTATAACTAAGAGTTTATTATTATAATTAATCTTCCTGACAAAATTAACGAACCGTCAACTGCGATGGGGAGTTAGCATTATCGTCCATTAACATTACCCACCGCCTTTATTTTATAAAGACGGACATGTATTAAATACCTATCGAACATTGGAAACGTAGACGTTATGCCACGATAGTTATAAAATTTACCACATTCAAGTCGTATTTTGTATATTACATTGTTTTTTGTTGATCCAGTGTTGCATTGGTTATGCGTTGTGTGGGTTAATAATATCTAGATATAGTGATTTCTTAAATGTTATTATACATGCTTAATATCATGCTAATATTTAAATGGGTGATTCTATGACCTATTTTAGGGAAAAAACTTTATATGAATATACCGGATGTTGCATCGTCGAGCGGGACATAGGAAATCCCATGTAAATTTTAATGGGGTCAATTATTGGCTTCCTAATTATTTTAGAGAATAATTCTATTTAGGTTTATTGAAGAGCACTAAAACCCACATTCAAAAGAATAACTTTAGATATTTTTGATTAGCCCGTTTACGAGTTATCGCCGATTTCTTTTTAAATATTTCTCCTTTCTTATGGCCCTGTATTTACTTATGAGCACCAGTCAAGGTAAAAGATAACTGTCAAATGTAGTTGTCATTTCAGAAATATATCCTATGAATATATCTATTTAGTGCTTTATTATTATTATTAAAAACTCATACCTACATAGAAAATATTAGTCATGAAATACACTACCAAAGAAAAAGTATTGATGATTAAATGGTATTATCAAGGAAATAGTTATCAAAAGGTGTCGGACATGTTTGCTGCTCTGTATCCGAATAGACCGACACCTGGAAAATCTACAATCCCAAGGAATATCCAGAGATTTGAGACCAAAGGTACTCTAATAAATAACTGCAGATCTGAAACAAGGCAGGAACAAAGAGAAGATGCAAGAAATGATACCGACTTTTAATGATACCGAAGTTTTATTGTGCGTGGAAGAGAACGATGGAAAGATCAGCACAAGAAAACTTGAGGATGAAATAGGAATAGATCACACTACAACGTTTCGAATTTTGAAACGACATAAATACTATTCCTTCAAATATGAAAAGCACCAAGAGCAACGAGATGGGGACGAAATACGGCGGCAGGCGTTTTGTTTTGATATGATGGAAAGAGCAAACACGGATAGGGAATTTTTAAAAAACATATGTTTTACTGACGAATGCACGTTTACCTTAAATAATGAACCCAATGTTCAAAATTATTGATATTGGAACAAAGAAAACCAACACAGGTTTGTCGAAACAAGGACGCAATATCCACAGAAAGTAAATGTTTGGGCAGGGATATTCGGACACAGTATTATCGGGCCATTATTTCTTACGCGAAATTTAAATGCAGAATATTATTGGAACTACTCGAAAATCATATTTAATCTACTTTACATGATACCGCTAGGGAAAATCAGGAAATTTGGTACCAAATGGATGGCTGCTCGGCACATAGTACCCCGGCTGTTCGGGAATATTTAGACAATAGTTTTAACGGAAACGCTATTGGCCTAAATCATACAGTAAATTGGCTAGCAAGGTCTCCTGATATTTCGGCAAATGATTTCTTTCTCTGGGGCCATTTAAAAAACAGGATATACAAGGATAAAAAATACCCAAATCTAGACGAGTTAAAAAATGCTATTTCTTCCGAATGCAATAGAATTTCAGTTTACCAACTAGCGAATGTAAGAAGAGAATGTTATGATGGCCTGGGTTATTGTCTAGCAGTCGATGAAGGAATATTTGAACCTTCTTAAATCCTAAAGTTCTAACAATTTAATAGTACCTAAATTAATAAGTTATTGAATATTGTAATAATACTATAATTAACCTTGTAATTGATTACTTTATTTTACTTTTATTCATATTAATTTGTATTTATAAATACATCTTTAAGATTTATCCGATGTAGGAATGAGTTTTCAATAATAATAAAGCACTAAATAGGTAAATTTCTGAAATGACAACTTCATTTGACAGTTATCTTTTACCTGGACTGGTGCTCGTAAGTAAATACAGGGCCATAAGAAAGGAAAAATATTTAAAAAGAAATCGGCGATAACTCGTAAACGAGCTAATCAAAAATATCTAAAGTTATTCTTTTGAATGTGGGTTTTAGTGCTCTTCAATAAACCTAAATAGAATTATTCTCTAAAATAATTAGGGAAGCCAATAATTGACCTCATTAAAATATACATGGGATTTCCTATGTCCCGTCCGACGATGCAACACCTGGTGTATGTCCTAAACGTTTTAACTTTTGAGATACAAATTTAAAAAAAATAACTTTTCCATAATACGTCTGATGTTATTCTAGGTACCGTTATGAAGTTTGACACATGTCTTCTATGCATAAAAATTATTTTTTAATGTGCATGGGTTCAATAAAAATATTTTGTAATAAATTTTCAAAATTTAAACTTAAATTTAGAAAATTATCAGTTCAGTCAAATAACTATGTAGTGAACATTATCTTTATTTTTGTCAATGATGACATGTAAGAATTAATTCGATTTCTTTCTTGAGGACGGTTACTCGTACCAATTTTTATTTCGAGACTTTTTTACGTAAAAACTAACAGAAATACATATTTTCTCCCAATAGTGTAATACATATACGGATGAAAAGTTATTACCTTTGAAAACTATTAAATAATAATAATATAGGTGGCGTCCTCTACAAGCAGGGGTTATACTGACGTCGAAATTGAGTTTCTCATATCAAAAAACACTCATTTTTCATCCAAATATGTTAGTACAGAAATTACTTGGAAAAAACAAGATATTACATAGAAAAGATATTGCAGTTATTATTGTATTTCATGCCGGGTCCAGACCAAGACGACAAAAAGTAAACACGATTTTGAGACAAAAACAAGACAAACTTGCGACAAAAAATGGCAAATTCTGACAAGACAAACTTGAGACAAATTGTCCACACCGCAAGGACAAAAGTACAACAAAGTCAAAAGTTTAGTTGTTGCGAATGAGTTTTATTGACATGTTATTTAACCTTGTGTGATTTCACTGGTCTCCTACTGTTGGTAGCACACGCCATCCACACTGCGTCGCCAACTTGTAAAATATATGAAAAAAAAACATAGACACTTTGATCTTTACCGACTCGTGAGGGGACATTGAAAAGTCTCCGAATTTTGAAACAAAACAAAAATGAGACATAAATGTCGCAGAAATGTATTGGATTTGTCGAAATTTTGTCGTAAAACATGAATGTTTGTGTCTTGTCGTTGTTTTATCTGCTTGGTCTGGACCCGGCATCAAAATTACAACACATTTTTTTATTGTTTATTTAGGTGGGGAAGAGATGAAAACAAAGACATGTCTCAATTGAGACAGCTCAATCTCCCGATAGTGAGCCAAGAGAAATGTCTTAGAAGCGACAAGAGTCCAGGAGGATCTTTTCTACGAATTACATCTGAAAAAACATTTTGTGCTGGTAAATACAAAAAACGGATGAAAAAAATTATGAGAATTTATCTAATAATTTTCTGCAGGTTTTAGAAATGGATCTGGACCATGTGACGGAGACAGTGGCTCAGGCTTTCTACTAAACAAAAATGGAGTATTTTTTCTAAGAGGCATTGTTTCCACAGCATTAATGGACCCTGTAACGCATTCCTGCAATTTGGATGAATACGTAGTATTCACAGATGCCAGCAAATATTCTAGTTGGCTTTTGAATGAAATTACGTAGCATTTGAAACCATGTAGCTAAAGTTACCTGTCACAACATAAAATAAAAAACTGTACAAAAAAAATTCTGTAAATATGTATTGTTATGCTTAATAAAAAATATAATTAAATAATTACTGATATTTGAATGAAACAGGATTTACACTGAATCACCTTCCTCTAGAAGATGCGAGACCTTGTCGTTGGTGAGGAAGCTCCTAGCCAGGTGCTAGGGGGAATCCCTCCGGCACTTTAGCTGGGCCTAAGAAGCATTTCATTGTCTTATGCCTGGCGCATTTAGGCAAAACGTATATATACCACGTATTAACCCTATGGTAAAAATCTCTTGCGCTGATTGGTCCGCGATCAAACGCGGTACGTTTTGTCTGGAGACGTTTAAAAGCGAGTACCTATTGTCCTCACATAAATCATCCATTTTGGTCCTGCGTTGCTGAACTTGGGAAGCTATGTAGAATTCTTTATGTTTATTAGAAAAACACATGACATAATAAACAATACAAGTAATATTTAGTTTATTGAGAATGATAACAACTTATGTAAATGAAAAAAAAAACAAATAAATACATGAAACATATGCACCTTAATGCCCAGATCCATGCCCTTTAGCATGAGGTACATTTTTATTTACGTTACCAGACAAACCGTGGTTACTTTTTTTCCTTTTAATGACCTCATTAAAAGCTGGACGACCAGTTCGGCATTCGTTTGCTGCCTCTTGTGACTCCAGAATTTCTTGTGGCAATTGAAATGGGCTGCTAGTAATGCACACGAATGGCTGATCTATGGCGTTTCCTAACAGGAATATGACACCCACAGCTGCTCAGGAAGGTGTCCTAATTATTCCGAGTTTTAACATTTTTTAGTCTCATTAAGCATGTTTGAATAACTGCTTCAGAAGAACCAAACTGGTCGTGATTATGGTTGAGTAGATCCTTTGAATAAGAAAACTAAGGAAGGAGCATAATGCTATCCATGTATTCATGCATGGTGGGCGGAAAAAGCACTCTAGGGTGGGGATCCTTGACAGTTCTGTTTGACGATTCATTTGACACATTTGAATTTGATTTGAAATTTTGTGGATTTGTCAGTCTTTATGGAGCTTATTTTATGTTATTTATTATTTATTCTACTACTGATAGTTGTATACAGGTGGTAAATCTAGATGGAAATTGTGGCAGAACTTAAATTAACAGTGACACTATCGCGATTTATCGAAAAAGACCAAAATAGTTGGTTGTGTAGCGTGCGGTAGATCTCGGCAAAAATTGAGGAAATAATGGAACAACTTTTCGCTAGTAAGTGATTATATAATATACATACGTAGTAAACTGATCATTTATGAAATTCACTTAAATTAACTAAATATATATTTTTCTTGCATTTTAGCTTTTATTTACTACTTGTCAAAGATCAGATGTCAAAGAATTTAGATACGTTAATTTGACTTACCTGCTTCAGTAGCGTATCGGATGTTTGTGTTAATAAATACTTATTATAACTTATCTATTTTTATTAGAATTATATATTTTTATAACAATTTTAATAACTATCAACATTTATTCACAACATAAAATAAAACAACAAATTATTGAGTCTACCCCACGTCTACCCTACATCATAGTTTTACATTTTTTAAATAAAATTAGAACGGCACTTATAAACCGGAATTTAAGTCGGCCATATTTGAGGCCTATCGCGGTGTACCTAAGATTTTTGATATGCTCCTTCCTTAGTCTTCTTATTCAAAGAGTAGATCTAAAAATTGTTTGAATTTATCCTCAACCGACTCTGTAGATGATGGTATATTTCGCTCAGGTGAATTATTTCGCAAACCATTTGCATAGGGACATCATTTAGCGAAGAATTTATGCCAGAGGTTAAAGTTGTCTCGATACTTTTATTTTGTAGAAGAGGAGCATAAAACTCGGGAGGGTTGACTTTATTTCCTAAAGCTAGAACAGCCATTGAATATCGCTCTTCTGTGGTGGAGTCTTCAATATTAAAAAATAGTGACAGAACGACAGAACTCCCGCCTGGTGTTCCCAATCTTCCATTTTCACACGTACAAAAACCTACATTCAAATCAACATCGTAAAATATTTCGGTTAATACTAGAAGGTACTTTGTAAATGAAGCAGTCAACTTTCTCTATATCTTTTTTTTCAAATGTGAAGCACGTTAGACTTGAGATTTTAGAAGAAGCCTTTTTGTATTAGTGCGACCATTAGTAAAAGTTCTTAAACGCCGAAATTCGCAAAGTGATCTACGCATCTATTACTATCCCTTTTTTTTTCGAACGCGTTCTTACTCTGTTACACCGACATTAAGCCACCTTTATTGTGAGGCAATACGTACCCGCTTTTAAACGTCTCCAGACAAAACGTACCGCGTTTGGTCGCGGACCAATCAACGCGGCGGATTTTTGCCATAGGGTTAATACGCGGTACGTTTTGCCTAAATGCGTTCCTGGCTGTAGTACCTCGGCCAGGGAATTGTACCATGACGTATAACGATGCCGGATAGGACTACCCTGTCCCTCATACCAGGCACCCTCTACTGTCTGTTGTCATGTACCTACCAGTGGCAGAGGGTGTGGGGGTGTGTTAAGTTAACCGCCCGGATCAAGAGGAGACAACCTCTAGATAACTAGACTCTACTGGTCTCAACCTTGGGGCATTAGGGGGCAACTCATTGTATTCTTGTCTCCCTTACTTCTGCGGGACTCTGTAGAAGTGGACCGACTAACCCTTGCGGTGTAATTGACCTCAAATCCAAAGAGGCATAGAGAAAGAGGGATATATCCTCTATTATACTAAGGGCTGGCAAAGGTTAGTCTTGGGTCGAGATTTCCGTATGTAAGAAGAGTACAATGCGTTTATAATGTACTGAACAAAGAGAGGACAGTAAACACGTTGCCAAACGTATGAAATAAACCGAGAAACTGTGCACATCGCCAAGAGACGTGGAAGGGGATATAACAGATTTGTCGCAGTTGACCGGTCGACCCAATCAATAGCTTACTTCGGGTTTCTCTTATTACCGATTCTGAACAGTCCTAGAACAGTGATGCGTATGCGCAGAAGGAAATATGAAGACATTATTTCATTTGCATATGCGCTGCAGAGTTCTAGGACGGTTCAGAATCGGTAATAACAAGAACCCGAACAAAGCTAATACCTCTGTCAGTACTTAAAGTTCTAGGGAATGAAGTGGTACGTTATGCGTTCAGCTTCACGATTTAATTACGTCTCGTGATAATTAATTTGTTTATTTATTATCGAGTTGTTGTAATTTTCCCTATAGCTTGAATTTTTTTAAATGCAAGCTAGAAACACTTGCATTTTTGGTGAAAATAAGTGGAATTGTGTGGGTGTTTGATAGTGGTCGCGCTATTAGAACTCTGAATTCAAAAATCGATATCTCGAAATCTATTAGAAATAATAGATTGTAGTTTTTTCAAGAACTTTGTTAATATTTCTGCTGTATTTTCTTTGTAGATAGTATGTGAAAATCTTTATCAATAAAAAAATTACACTATTGCGGAAAATTGCTATGCTCTAAAATTAAATGGATGGATTGTTTACAATTTTTGAATGGAAAAAACAATCTTATCGAATTTTTCTTATGTAAACATATTGTAAAATATCCGATCTTGAAAATAAAAAAAGTTTTAATATCTAAAGTGGTTCTTGAGTTATGGCCTGTTATGTGTTAAAAAGTTGAGTTTTCAAATTATCGCGATTACTGACGTTTTCTCGTTATAAAAAAAATGACACCTTAACGATATCCTTATAATTCCATTTCAGATGCTCAGAAACATGTCTAATGATTTTATCTAGTTATCTCTTGAAAAAAAAGTCTTTTAAAAATGAGCGGTTTGCGATCGTGATTTTACTTTACTTGATAGGGAAAGGCGTATGGGCAAGCATTTCTCTCATTCCGAGTTAATAAGATCCCTATGCGATTTACTTCTTTTTATTCTTAATCTAAGTTTACTTCCACACATGTAAATGCCGACCCAAAAGTAACAGTTGCCAGCACGGTAGATTCGGGACAACGCCATATCAGGTCTAAGGAGGGACCAAGTTAAAGAGGTGGAGAAAATGGAGACAGATCCTCTAGCATCCCATCTGTGCATCCCATTCACGGCTACCTCAGCCGAAAAACGGAGTACTAAACCCCAACCGTAAAAGTGTGTATACCCTCGTAGGAGATAGATACCCACCCCTCGGAGGATGGGCATTTGTTGTCAGAGGAGGGTGGGAAATAATCCAAAATTTAAATAGTATGCAAGTACATTTAATCTTCAGTTGTAAAATCCCTTGATCACAGGGTATTAATAGAAAAAATGGTTGATGATTTACGTCTTTAGTTAATGCCCACTTGCACCGTTTGTATAAACTTTGATTAAAGGCTAAACTGTGATTAACTATAATAAAATATGTATAGTTAATCACTGTTTAGCCTTCAAACAAAGATTATACAAACGGTGCAAGTGGGCATAAATTAGTTAAATGCGTATTCGTCATATGAAGAACATTTGCATAGGTAAATAAGTCTTGTCACACGTTCATCAACAGCCGAATCTGTTTACATGACTAATGCCAATAATTATAATAATAATGATAGTCCGCACCTGGACGAAAATGACAATTTGAAAATCTCCCGCGGTGCAAATCGTTTTTGAATATTTCCGAAATTAACAATAAACCAAATAAACCGTTTTGGAGCTGATACTGAAAATATCTACAGGGTCGGGATAAAATATTGGGATATTTTTGATGACCTACCGATTAAAAACATAAAAATCGATATATCAATCATTATTTAAAACACTAAATACACTTATGTCTATAGTGACCAGTACAGAACATCCACATAATTTAAGCTTCATTTAGAATTTAAAAATTAGAATAAATTAGTGGTTTCAATTAGCGTTTCAAGTTTGACCCTCTAATTTTAATGTAAGCATTTAGAACGTCAAAATTAGTGGTAGTAACTTTCAATAAGTAGAAAAAGTTAACACATTTTTAACTTCTTTCACTAATTTTACTTCAAAATTTGCCAGTAAAGCTTCCTT